GTAAATTTGTTCTTATGGAGTCAAACTTATTGATCCGATTAGTTGTGAAGAGGCTTCTGGTTCTTGTCTGTAGACCAAGTTCAAATATGATTGTCAACACTTAAACATTGCAATTTTGAGAGAATTGTTTTATTAGTCCTGGGACTTGTTTTCTAGGTCTTACTGAACTGCCTCAATTCATTACAACAAATAGTTATATTTCTTTATATGATTTTGAAAGATATTTGGAAATTTTTGCTTGGGTAATGGACAATTACAATATCTAATTTCTCTAATTACAGTTTAGCAAAATAACTTCAGATTGTCAGAGTACACATGAATTTTTCCTCAGAATTTTTATCCAGAAATGTGAATTGATTATGTGAAAAACTTAAAATTACAAAGTTGGCTGGCATTTGTGTTGAAAATGTCTTGTGATGCTTTATTTGATGTGCAGAGTTTAGATATGGATGAGAGAGGAAAGTTGTTGAACTGATGCTATTAAATGTCAGACATCTACTGCAATGGATAATATATTTTAGGATTCACTCTGACAAGTTGACTCAGGAGTTAACTTGTCATTACTTCTTCTACACCTCACTAGTTCACAAGAAGACAGCTAGACTTGTCATCAGGGGATTTCTTCTGACTAGAAAGAAAATTTGAAATCTGAAAGGCTCACAGTTAGTGACAGTTATACTAGTGTTGTAGGACCATTGCATTTTGAATTTCTTTTACAACCTACCATAGTAATGTATAAATAAGTAAACACTTTCTGAGATTTGTGTTATATTTAGAGCCTAATTATCATGTAAAAATATATGTAAATAAAAACAGAAGTGCTAAGTTTTAATTTTTACCTAAATTTCTGAATTTAGCAAGACAATTTTGACTAAGTGTACATAATTAGGAGGTTAATATTTTTCAGGGAAATTATGAGTTACATCATTTTACTTCAGTATATCCATCAGTAAAGTAGATCTGAGCAACAGATGATGTAAGATAAATGAAAGACTAAAAACATGACAGAAGTATTAGAACAAGTGTCAGAATTCTTCAAAAATAAAATCACAAACCTGTAGGCTAGATTTGCTATGGTGGTGTGTAAAATAAAAACAATAAGTAAGTATGTGAGAGAGCGAGAGATGATTACAGGCAGAATTGTAAGGAAAAGGTTGTTCTAGCTAGCTCATATACCACTGGAAAGGAAAGTATGCTAAGGTGGTGGTAGCTTCGACTTCTTGAAGGAGCATTGGAAGACTATAAAATAAAGGAAAATAAAGAGTTTTTAGAATGTTTTAAAATCATGGCCAATGATGACCTGAAATATAAAAAGATGCACTCTTCTCCCATTCTACAGAATCCCCAAAGATCATGCAGCTGAGTCTGTTTATTTGGGTGAGAGGGGGAAGAGGAAGGGTTTAAATCAAAAGTTGCCCTCTCATTGCCTGCAATCAAGATTGAATAGTTTTAGTTTGAGTGTACTTGAAATACCTGCACAATTAATTTGTTTCAAGTGATAACTTTGTGCTGGTAAAACTGTTAGGTATCTGCTAAATGTCAGGTACTATATGTTGGCTAGAGACTGAAGTACTTTTTCTTTTTTGCTTAAATTCTTTTATTGGTACATTTTAGGCATACAGTACGTTTACATTTATCATTGGTTGCTTGTACCTGTACATGATGTATCTTGGTTCTTATTTTTTCCTCATTCCCTGTGCGCCCTTCACCCCTCCACCCTTCCCTATTTACATAGACCTCGTTTCCATTTTTTTTTCTTTTCTCATAATATTTCCTTTCCATTTTTTCCTTTCCGCATCTTCTCCCACCACCCCTACCCCTTTGGACCTTTTCCTATTTCAAAGTATCAATTATTAGTTATTAACCCTTTTAATCCTTATTTACACTCTCAGTTTCTCACCCTAGAGAAACTAGTCAGTATTTACACGTGTGTCTTATTTATTTCACTTAAGAGTATGGCCTCAATATGCATCCATTTAGCTATAAATATCTCTAGTTTCTCGTTCTTTATGGCTTTTATAAAAAACCTACATCTTCTTTATCCAGTTTCCAGTTGATGGGCACTTGGGCTGTTTCCACGCTTTAGCTATTACAAATTGTGCCGCTATGAACATGGGTGCATATATAATGCTGTGGTATGATTCTTTTAATTCTTTTGGGAAAATACCCAGCAGGGGAATAGCTGGGTCAAATGGGACCTCTAGTCCTAGTTCTTTGAGGTATCTCCATACTGATTTCCACAGTGGTTGCACCAATCTGCACTCCCACCAACAATAGAGAAGGGTTCCTTTCTCCCCGCCCCCTCCACTGCCAGGATTTGTTATTAGATGATTTCTTGATAGCAGCCATTCTTTCTGGGGTGAGGTGGAATCTCAGTGTTGTCATCTACATCTCTCCCATGACCAGTGATGTTGAACATTTTTTCATATGTTCATTTGCTGCTTTTACTTCTTTGTCTGAGAAATGTCTGTTCATTTCAGATGCCCAGTTTTGAATTGGGTCTTTGAATTTGGGGGGGTCTGATTTTTTTCAGTTCTTTATATATTCTAGATAGTAGACCTTTGTCTGAGGTACAGCTGCTAAAATTTTTTCCCACATTGTAGGTTGTCTGTTAGCTCTTTTGGTGGTTTCTCTTGCAGTGCAGAAGCTTTTCAATAAGATGAAATCCCAGTTGTTGATTCTTTCTGCTAGTTCCCGTGCTACTGAGGTTTTGTTCATAAAGTCTTTTCCTATGCCAATATCTTCAAGAGTTCTACCTAACTTATCTTCTAGCAAGTTTAGTGTTTCTGTCTTAATATTTAGATCTTTAATCCACTTAGATCTTAGTTTAGTGCATGGTTATAGATATGGCTCTAGTTTTAATCTCTGACAGGTTGAAATCCAGTTTTTCCAACACCATTTATTAAATAGGCTATCTTTCCTCCAATGAGGGTGGTTGGCTCCTTTGTCAAAGATGAGGTGGCTAAGTATGTCTGAAGTTGTTTCTGCGTTTTCTAATCTATTTCACTGATCCTTGAGTCTGTTTCTTTGCCAGTACCATGCTGTTTTTATCACAGTAGCTTTGCAGTATAGCTTGAAGTTGGGTATTGTGATACCCCCAGCCATGTCTCTGTTGCCCAGAATTGCTTTTGCTTTTCTAGGTCTCTTCTGGTTCCAAATGAATTTTTGAATTGTTTCCTCTAGTTCTGTGAATTATATTGTTGAAATTTCAATTGGCATTGCACTGAATCTATATAGTAGTTTTGGAAGTATGGCCATTTTCACTATATTGGTTCTTCCTACCCAGAAACAAGGGATGACTTTCCATTTTCTTATATACTCCTTGATCTCCTTTTTCAGGGTGCTGTAGTTTTCAGTGTAGAGGTCTTCTGATGTACCTTTTCTAGCTCAGCTGTGCAAAGTTTGTAGCTAAAATACACAGATTCAACATATGGTTTAACAGAGGGCAAATCACCTGTTGATGAGTTAAAATGGGAAACTTGTGACCCACTAAGCATAGAAAAAGATCAGGGACAGTGGTTCTGGGAATGTTACATGGACATTGTGGTTGTGCTAGAGTAGACAGAGAGGTAAATATTTATTACAAAGACAGGAAATGTGATCTTTTAAAAATGAGTGTCTTGAATATACAGGACTGTCAGTTACATTTGGAGGGCAAAATACAGGCCAGTTCACAAACAGCTTTTACAGTGATCCATATAGGATGTCATTAGATTTTCAGAAGATCATTTTGATAGTGGTGAGGAGTAGGGACTAGAAGGGTAGAGGATTGAGGAAGGAATTCGATTAGGGCTTTTAGTGACTTCAAGAAACAATACAAAGATCTAAAATTAGATAGAATTGGAAAGAAGAGGAGACAGAATATTTTGAGGGAGTAGAGTCAACAGAATTTTATGACTGAACTTACATGGTGGTGACTCGGGGGAGAAACTGCCGGAGTTAATCTTGAATTGCTGGTGGAGTAAGTGGAGAGTTGCATGCCAGGAGCAGTTTAGTACGGGGAGAGAAAAATGTTTGGCAAATTTGTTACATGTTAAGATAAAGGTGTTCAAAAATAAATATTTATTCGAATTGTTCTTCATTACTTAGTTATTAATATCTATTCCGTGCTGAGCTAGGTTCTTCTGTCATCCTCAGTTCAGCAGTGGCAAAACTGAGGCACAGACAAGGTGACAACTTGTCCAAAATTACAAAGCAAGTAAGCAGCAAAGCTAAAATTTCAATTTGGAAAGTCTGAGTGCAGTTCCCATACTTTAACTGCTCCCATATGCTTGCATTTTAGCAGGATCTGAGTTGAGAAGGGGCAGTTGCAATGGCGAGATAGAGATTTGGAAATTCTGAGTTTGCATATGGGGGATAAAAGCATTGGCCTGAGTGACTCATCCCTGGAGAGTCCATGAAATTTTTGTGGGTGCAGAGATCACACATGACCTTATTATTCAGAAAGGAGAAGTGAGCTTGAGACTGAATAAGTGACCAGAAAGATGAGAGAAATCTCAAAGCAATTGTGCCATAAAAGCCAAATCAGGTGGCCACTTTTTTTTTTGGTACTGGGGATCAAACTTGGGTCCTTGTGCTTTCGAGGCAGGCAACAGAACCACTGAGCTAAATCCCAGGCCCATGTGGCAACTTTTTTGTGAAATAAAATCATTTATGATTCTAAAATCTTTTTTTTAAAAAGCCAGAAATTTCTATTAGAAGTTACTGGTCATGTTGCCATTATGGTTTTAGTGTAGTTATTCAGAAACAGAATAAAAAGATTGGAGGAATTAAAAGTTGGCATGGTAAGTAGGGACAGAGAACCTCCTTATTCAAGGAGAGCTGTGACAAGGTAAAAGAGTGACAGAGTAGAAGCTAGAAGTGGGTGGAAGGTAAATGGAAGGTCTTTCTGATTGGGTGAGACAGGATCATATTTTGGTGGATTTAAGGATAATCTGTCTTGAAATAAGAAATTTTTTAAAAGAAAAATTCTAATTTAAAATGCTTTTTAAACCTTACAGAACATTATACATCCATGGGCATAGCAAGTTGGATTTCACAGTCTGGCATACTGCAATTGAAAAAGCAGCAGGTACAGATGGTAATGCATTACAAGATCAGCAGCTCAGCAAAAATGACGTTCCCATTATTGTGAACAGCTGTATAGCATTTGTTACACAGTATGGTATGTATCACATAGTTATTATTCAACCTTTAGAACTAGCAGAATCATTCTTACACTTTCCAAGGGACACCTCCATTGGACTGAATTAATGCACTTTACTTTCATAATTATGCCTGTGAAAAATAAAAGCATGGTCTCTATTCAGCTAATTGTCATTCCTTTCCTAGTAAAACTCATTTAAACAATAGAGTACATTTTTTACTATTTCCATCATATGTGTGAAATGTTAAATAACATATTGAAAGAATATATTGTACAATGTACATAAATATAGTAAAGACTATTGTTAGTGGTTCCAAGTCTAGAATAAAACCTAGAATAATTCAGCTGCTTAAGCATGAGTTTAGAAGTATAAAGCTATGGAATAATATGTAAAAGAATTTGATTGATTATTTATTTATTTATTTATTTTGTTCTGGGGATTGAACTCAGGACCTTGCGCTTGCAAGACAGGTGCAGCACCACTGAGCTAAATCTCTGGCCCAGAATTTGATTTCTTTAGACATGCATATTTATTTCATTCAACATGCTTTGTTCAAATCTTTTTATTAAGAACCAAGTCTGTTAATTTTAATAGTTTTGATTTCTTTGCATTGGATAATTTTATGAGTAAATAGCAAGTAAAAATAACTTAATGTATATATGTGTAGTCCATTTACTTTTATATGATAGAGTATTTTATACTGTTCCTCATTTATTTTCAAATTTTTATGTATTCTTCAAGTTTGTTCTTAGTTGCATATATTTTCATATTCTGAAAGTAGATATTTCTTAACTATATTGAAATATTTTCCATTTTTTAACCTATAGGTAAGTGCTATTTATTTAGAGTACACATGTGGAAAAGTGTAAAATGATTATTATTGAAAATGCATTAATTATTTTGCTCTGTTATTAGAGATGTCTTTGGATGTTTTGATTTGAAAAGGCATACTTAATGAGAGGGTCACAGCAAAATATGCATTATTAAATGTTCTTAGAAACAAAGAAATGCCAGTAAAAAATTAAAGACAAAGCCATGCAGCTCAAGTTCTGACAATGTATGATATGTATGAAAATGTTAGAAGTAACAAATACTATGACAAAAATCATTTTCTGGGATTAAGCTTGTACTGTGTGTGTTTTAATCTCTTATAAGGAGATTGGTATTTTAAGTATCTTACTTCAAATATAATCTAAATGTAGTTATTATTAATGTCCAGCCTTATTATGTTTGTATTATGGGTCTTGAAAATATGTACCTGATCACATATGTGACCTTACTATAGGAAGGTCCTTGCTATGACAATCAGTTTATATTTTTCCTATCAGCCCTAGTCAAATTTATTTGAAAATGAGGGAATAGAAGCTTATCATCTTCATTTATTACAGTTATCCAGTATTAGTACACTTGTGTTTTACAGGTGTAAATGAATTGCACACATATTATATTTTAGCAAGAACATAACTTCATTGGGAATTTTCACATCACGTTAATTTCATAACAGTGTAGGGTCTTTCTTAAACTGGAAAATGATTAAAATAATTTGAGTAGCTCCAGTGTATCCTATTTAATATTTCTCTAGAGAAATTAGAAGTTTCCTCGTGGTAGTTATTTGAATTTAAAATCATTAACCATTAGGTTGTTTTCAACTAAATATTGTGTATTATAACTCCTTCATAACTCTAATACAAGGTGCAGTAACTTGCACATGAAAGTAATAAAGCCAATATGATTAGAACTTGGGGTATAGCTTCATTACTATTAGAATGTATAAAAGAAAACATTTGATATAAACATAGAAACCCTCCATGATTATAGAGAACAGGTGGTTGGCTTACAGTTTTCATGATGGTAATTATTTTGAACATCTTGACTATGTTAACATCCAGTTATTTGTGCTCTTCATGTCATGATTTGAACTTGACCAAGTTTAAGGGATAGGTTTTAGCACTGTAACTTTTTAAAATCAAGTACAAAAGTTACTTCTTGAGATAAGTTATTTTACTTTATGTGAACAAAATCATATTCAAAATTTTATTCAGTTAACTAAAATTGTACGCTATACTAGAAATTCCCTTAACTGGAACATAGTATTTCAGACACATAGTTACAAGTTTTGTTTTGTTTTGTTTTGTTTTAGAATTACCATTTTTTGCATTAATCAATCATTTATCAAATGCCCATTGAGTTCTATTTGTTTTGTTTTATTTTTTTAAGACAGAGTCTTGCAATGTAGTTCAGGGAAGCCTTCAACTCCCTGTGTAGCCCAAGTTGGCCTGCAACTCCTCCTGCCTCAGCCTCCCTAGTGCTGGGATTATAGGCATGGACCACCATGCCCACCCATGTAGAGTACTTGTAACTGTTGGATATATTCAGAGAATAAGATAATCCTTGCCTTCTAGGAGTTTATAAAATTATGGAATAGAGACATAAGTGAGTAGACAGTAATATCTCCATATACAGAATTGTGGGAGTAAATTGTACCCAGAGAGGGATGGTAAAAGAAGGCTCATGTTTGTCTTTTCAGAGAAGTTTGTTTTGTTAAATATGACCAGAGATTAGTGTAAGAAGAGTTGCATACAGCAGGTAGGAGTGTAAGCCAACTCTGCCCATTTTTTAGCTATCTCAATAAAATCCTCTTTGTCTTATAGGCAGTGGGAGGGCAGTGTCTTGATATTCAAGCTTGCTAGTGGTACAAACCAGCCTATATTTTATATCACTTGGTTGGCATTCTGCAAACAGATTCTTAGGCTGCACAAGAAGAGGTTCAGGGAGTTGTGAAAATACCGTGAACTAGTAAGTGCACAAAATAGTAGCATATGGGTTGCAGAGAAGAGGACAGTTTTGAGTGAGATCATGAAGAATACGTGACAGCTTTTTCTTTAATGTTGTGATTTAGGAAGAAAGGTTCTGACTTACAGTGTGACAAGAAGACAATGACATATACTGAGATTGAGGAACAAGATAAAAATGCTGGGGTTCAGTGGTGAGGTGGCAGATGGAACAAGTAATTTCTTTGAGTTTTTTTGGTTTGCCCGTAAGGATATGAATAATATGAATGTATGTCTCTGCATGTTGGATAAATGTTTAATGATAAATGCATATGTATGGATGTGTGTATGTGTGAAATTTTAGAAATTAAAACCAAGGTCAAAGTGTATATGTAGCAGTTGGAATGATGAGTTTGGATGGGTTCACTCAGGGAATTTTCTAGGGGGCCAAGAAGAAAAGAGAATTGTGGATGAAATCCAGGACTCACTAGTGAAGACAAGATGAGCAAAATAAAGAGAAGACTGAGAAAATAGCCACAGAGGGAGGAAGAAAAACAGATAAGAGATCATGATATGAAAGTCGTGAGCTTAAAAGAATTTTAACAGAGATTCATCTGATGTGTCAAATGCTATAAGTAGTTCTCATTAGCTAAAAACTGAAAAGCATCTGGAAGAAGGACATTATTGATAATTCTTGATGACAGTGCTTCCAACAGAGTGGGAATTGGGCACAGAAGGAAGATTGTATGGTAAAAAAAATTCACAGGCATGTGAAACAGTAGAAAGGATACATACAGGGAACTCAACCTGGTTTGGAAAGGAAGAAGGGCAAGAAATTTGGGAGGAGCCAATGGAAAAATTTTATGTCATCATTATATCAGGTCATCATCATCTTTTCCACCTGCTAATCATTACTACTTTACTCTTGCTTGGATAGAAGGTCAAGATGAAAGCAAGAAATTAATACACAAATATGAGGGTGAAAGTTTGGGATTTTTTTTTTTTTTTTTAACCAGAGAGCTTTACTTTTGTCAGAATGGAGGCAAGATTGTATTCTGAGGGCCGGGGATTTAGCTCAGTGGTTCTGGTGCCTGCCTCACAAGCTCAAGGTCCCAAGGTCAATCCCCAGTACCAAAAAAAAAAAAAGATTGTATTCTGAGACAGTAATTGGGAATAGGGCCCTTGACGTAAAAGAACATTTGCAAAATAGACTGTGAAGAACTGGAGGAATTGCTGGCCAGAGACTGGCTAAAAACTAAGAGTGGAATAGTTTGTTTAGGTTTACATTTTAAACACTGAAATTAATGGTAGGCAGCCTCTCGTGTCCTGCATAATAATTTCTTCATCTTGTTCATCATCCTAACACAAAAAAGTTTTCTATTGAAGTAGATTTTGAATTTAGACTTTTTTTCATATAAACTTTTTTGTTTTAAACAAAGGTTTGGGATACAGATATATCTATCAAAAGAGTGGTGATCCTTTGCACATAAGTGAACTCCTGGAGAATTTCAAGAAGGATGCAAGAAGTTTTAAATTGAGGGCTGGAAAGCATCAGCTTGAAGATGTGACAGGCGTGCTGAAGAGATTTCTCTCTGACATTGATGATGCACTTCTCACTAAAGAACTCTACCCATACTGGGTCTCTGCCTTAGGTAATATATAGAGTATAGGACAGAATCCGTGTTTGCTTTCTGACTTGATAGTTAAATTGTTAAGTCTTTGATAATGTGAAAATTATCATGACTTTTGTTTTTTTCTCTGTCATTTACATGGTTAGTATATATAACCATATTTTTTTACTCTCTTCATTGTCCCTAGATTCCATCTAATGAAGAGAACTTTAGAGATGACCCTAGAAAAGTAGTTAGTAAATCATTCTTTGGGTCATATTAAATATATGAAAACCTATTTCATATGCATTAATTTAAAAGAGTTGATAATTGTAATACTGAAACATTATGATAATAAATATTTTAAAATGTAAGCAGTGTCTTTAATCTCGTCTATTAAAGCTGTTTTCATTTTTCTGTATTTTAATCTTTTTGTGATTTGTATACATACTGTATTTTTATTTTTCTTAGGAATCTAAACATTTCCTACATACTCACATTTTTATATAATAATTTTCAATCTTTAGTTTTCAAAATTGAGCTTTGATTTTTACCATAATTATATGTTTCTTATAATTTAATCTATTTCAAGATTGTTTTGAAAAATGATTTTTGACTTGGGCTCTTTATTATTCCTTTGTTGAAAAAAATAATTTTTTCACTGAAAGCTTTGTTCATTAAAAAATATAATTAATATATTTGAAAGTATTAAATTTAAAATCATATCACAAAATAGCTACAATTTGAAAATTATTGCTGTATTGACCTTTATTAGTATCAGTACTAAAGAGTAGTAATATTATTAAAGTAAAACTTTTCATAGTTTAACTACCAAATTCTGAAGACCATTTTTTACTTCCAAATATTTTTTAAATCAGTAAGGTAAATTGTGATCTCTAAATTTGATTGAATAATTTCCTGGAATCTAAGATATATAATTAAAATATCTCTCTTCAGATCCAGTTTCCTTGCAACATTCATTTTTACTTTTCAATCATTTTGTTATAACTATAAAGTTATTTGTAGTATCTCTTTTATGAAGGCTTACATTTCATCTTTATTATAAAATCGGTTATCCATAATATATAACAAATCAATTTTTGCTAAAGTTCTTAAATGACCAAGAAGTCTTTACTGTTATCAGTCTACCATGAGGAGATAGCTGGCAATTGGTAGGCATGTGTCAGAAAAGAGCGTGTTCACCTTTCACTTTGGTGTGAATTCTTTGAGAATTTACTTGGAGAAGGCTTTGAATACTAGGCTGAACAGTCTGTATGTCCTTTGCCTTCACATCCAGTATTACTGAGCCAGACACTTTAGAAACGCCTTCTGTTGGCTCTGATAGGGATGAACAGTGACTCTTGAGTGATCTTATTGAAGAACTCTCCTGTGTCCTGTGCCCCTGATCCCAGAAATACCACAGAGTAGCACACCCACGTGTTTTTTTTCTACATGATATGTTCTTTTAAGAACTCTGTTAAATTATCTGAATTCTGGGCTAAATTGTTCATTGTATTTTCTATATTACCTAAAACATTTCCTGAGTTTTGCTTTCCAATTGCTTGTCTTTATTTTGAAAATGCCTATGTTATTCTTATAAGAGACACAAAAAGTCTTACACTAGTGTGACTTCTCATTTTTAAGTATAGCAGTATTAATTGTATTTTATTGAATAAAATGTAATTACTCCTACAACAGAAACTGGAGTACATGAAGGCAAATGTTTGGATTATACTAGGAATAATACATAATCCTTGTATTTGAATCTAATTCAGATATCTTCCCTTAATTGCTTTTATAGAATTATCTATTGCAGCACTTAAATTGATGACTGTTTACTCTTGTAGATCTCATGTGCAGGCTAAATCAATATCAAAGAGATATCACTTGCAGTTTTGAATAGGAGCATACTTGAAAAATGTGTCACAGAATTTCTTAAATCCCTGGGATCCCAATGTTCTTTAAAGATGTCTGAAAACTTTTAAAGAATCATTAATGTATTATTGGCTCTTTGTGCTTAGAATAGGTAGTGTTAAACAGGAAATGGAAAAAATTTAGTTTCCAAAGTGGTTGAAAATTGAAAGGAACATTTAAGTGAATTTTGAGTTACAAAGTCAGCACAAACTGTTTCTTAGAATAACATATTCATTTCTTAGGTCAGTAGTAGGTAGGACTGAACAACCACCATACACATCCTTTAGAGTCTAGAATTTTGAGGAAATCTGTAGTTTCTCTGCAGATTTACCTTCCAGGATTAGAAGAGTAAAGGGAAATTCCCTCTCATCTTCCTCTTCAGGGACTAATGAATTTCTATCCACAATAAAAGCAGAAGGTCCACCACCTTCTGAATCTGGATCATAGTGTTAAGGCCTGTATGTGACTCTTGCATTGTCCCTGAGCTTCTTCAAAGATTTGAAGGTGGCAGCGATGCTAAAATCCCCTTTACACGGATCAGAGGGTAACCCACATTTCTTGGATCTGGGGCGGTTCATTGCTTTGGGAAGATCTTCATCATTTCATAAAAAAAAAAAAAAAATCCAAAACGTCACTTTCAAATACAAGTAATGAAACCTCTTCATAGGCAGAGTTAAAAAATGCTTCTGTTACCAAAAAAAAAAAAAAAAAAGCTTTTGTCTTAGCTTTTCAATTTGTACTCCAATTTGATTAATTGAATGTATTCGTACTAAAAATTTCATAGTCTCTAAAGTGGATGATAAAAAATAAACTGTCCCATTTTCAAAGTGCTTGCTTGCTTGCTTGCTTTCTTTCCTTTTCTTTCTTTCTTTTCTTTTCTTTTCTTTCCCTCCCTCTCTCTCTCTCCCTCCCTCCCTCTCTCCCTCTCTCCCTCTCTCTCTCTCCCTCTCTCCCTCTCTCTCTCCTTTCTTTCTTTAGTACCGGGGATCAAACTCGGGTCCTTGCACTTTTGAAACAGGTGGCTTAACCACTGAGCTAAATCCCCTGCCCTAAAGTGTTTTATTTTTAAATTATAAGAACTGTAGGATGTAGCCATGGAACATTTATGTAAATAAATGCTTTTCCACAATTATAGGCAATTTATAGTTTTCTACTGCAGCCCTATTTTATCATTTATTATAATACACTTGTAACTTTTTTTAAATACTTTTGAAAGGCAGATTTATTTTATAAAGGATTAGTTTAAATCTAAAGATTTTTTTCCCTCCAGATACACAAGATGAAAAGGAAAGAATTAAAAAGTATGGAGCATTTATACGTACCCTTCCAGGGGTCAACCGTGCAACCCTTGCAGCTATAATTGAACACCTTTACAGGTGGGTGGGTTCCTGAACTTTTCCAGATATTTCAAACATAGCACTTAAATAGTTATTGTTTTTTCTTAAAGTTGTGTGGCAACCTTCTACATGTGACTGTGACTCTTTCACTGTACATTAAGACTTACTGCTTTAGTCTTCTTTTCTGCAATTAAAAATCACACAGTTAAATGGCACTGGAGAATTTCTTAAGTGAATCAGAAATAATCATATGTAAAATCCCCAAACACATGTAGTGTATAAGCAAGACTTTTAAAACTCGATAGGAGCTGGAGAAGGAACAGATTATTTTTCATTGCATGACATGATGCAGATATAGTCTCTAGTCTATATCTGTCTATGCAATGTGGGACAGATTTTAGTGTAGAGAATTTAAAAACATGTAGCATGGAATTATAGTGATTGAGTGATTCATTGTTGAGGGATCAGGGTTCTCTGACAGGAATCTGTTTTTGAGGACTGTTTCCTTTTGGTATCCTCATTATAGACTTTTATCTTTTCATTATCAATTTATATCTTACCTGACCCCTGGTATTTGATATCACACTGATCAGATGAGAAAATATTTAAAATTAAAAACATTCTGTATGTCATGGCATTAAGGTCACTATGCATTTGGAAGGAAATAAAAGGTGAATTGAGAGATCTGGAGGAGGAGGATGTTTAAAATAGCATTTAAAGATAAAACTAAAGATTGCTTTGTGTGTATTAATCTTAGCAAGAATTATTATAAAAACTTTTTATAAGTGTAAATTTTGCTTAAGGGAATATATTGTAGCTCCCAGTATGAATAAAATATTCCCTTGAATAAATTTTTATAAAGCTGAAATCATCTAAAAATATATTACTTGGAATCTAGGTTAGAAACTTTTCACAACATGTTGTCTTTTCTCTTTTACAAACACTAGTTTTCATCAAGCATTATAAACTCTTACTATTGTAAAACTGATTTTCTGGTTTGGTTTTGTTTTCTTTCTTTTCTGTAGTTTTTCCCCCTTGGTGCTGGGGACTATGCTAAGAAGATGTCCACTGCCAAGTTACATTCCCAGCAAAACTGATTTTCTTACTGTGTCATACAAATACAGTCTATGAGATTCTGGACAAATTTTAATACAGATAATTTTATCATGAAGCATGTAATTATAGAGGAAAGAATGAGTAAATCACTGTGGCTGGAATTCCAGAGAATGTTTATATACTTCAGATTTAAAAAGAAATATCAACTGGGTATAAAGTTGGAAAAAAACATAAAAGTACAAAAGCAGACACAATGGTACAGAAGCAGTCCCAGTTACTTGGAAGGCTAAGGCAGGAGGAACATTTGAGCCTAGGAGTCCAAGACCAGCCTGGAGACCACATAGGAAGAGCCTGTCTCACACACACACACACACACACACACACACACACACAGTATATCTTCTGGGACAGGTGAGTACTAAGATGGAGATGAGCCCATTTAGTTAGCTGACAGGAGGCTTTGAAAGGCTTTTCAGGACATGCATAAACATTTGAACTTTATCCCTCAAAGTCCTGAGTAGCAGGTCAAATCTGTTTTAGCCCAGTACCCCAGTGATCAGACTGGTTGGGAGAGGCAGAGAAACTAAGTAGGAAACAGTTTTGTTGGCTATCTGATGAGGTTTGAATGAAAAGAGACTGAACACTTGGGAATGCTCGCATCTGGGGACCAAGACGTAAAGGAAAAAAAATAAATTCTGTATTTTATCCAGTTTATTCCAGGAGTTAAGGTAGTCTCAGAAGCTGAAAATAAAAGAAGTAAAGAGTGCCAGATCGGAATGATGTTACTGAAGCAGTCTCAAGAAAGGTGTAATGTTTGATAATGTCAAAAGTTTGACAAATGAATTTGGATAAGATCAGGTTGATGCAGCATTTAATTCAGTCCCTAACCTAGATGAAAGGTCATTTCTGCCATCAGTAACTTCCACTTAATTCCATTCACCAGTATATAATGCAGTAAAGTGTGATTAAAGCAAGGGTGCCTGACTATGAGAACCTGAGAGTCTAGCCTCAGAGGCAGATAAGGAGATAAATTTTCTGGATGTTTACAGTCTAGTGTTATAAAAGTACAGAAGTGGTTTTGGGGGGGTGCCTACAATTTCTATGTCCTCCTTTATTATTAAATTCCAATTTCCTTTGCATCTTGTAAATCACATATGATGCTTGCACTTGCTCTGTCTCTGCCTATAGTTTTGCATTTTATTATGAATTTCTTACATTATCATATATGTTACCATCATGTTTACCTTTTTCTTGTTACCTACCAGAATCTATATTCTGTATTCGCAGGACCACCTAGGTTAGTCTTGCCATATTTTTTAATGGAGTGTGCTCTCTCTTCCTTTGTGTGTATTTTTAAAATGTCCAAATATAATTAAACAGGCAGTGGAGCAGGCAGTACAAATAGAGACCATTATCAGCTATGTCCACTTATAATTCCCATCCACTGCATTTTCATCAGTGTAAGTTTACCTTTCTTGGGGTGATAGCTGTAGATTTAAAAAATTTCAGTCACTAAGAATCTGTATTTGTGAATACTTTAAATGCTTTTTGAAAGACTCCGGGTTATAGCTTACTGAGTAGAAAAGTTGACTTGTTTGTTCATATCTGCTCTTTTTCTCTGGTACTGGGGATTGAACTCAAGGTCTTGGATATCCTAGCAAGTGCTGTACCACTGAGCTATGTCCCAGTTCTTTTTTTATATTTTGTCCTAAGACATGGTTTCTCTAAGTTGTCCAAGCAGAGCTGCAACTTGCAATCCTTCTGGATCAACTTCCTAAGTACCTGAAATTACTGGTATGAGCCACCCTGTCTGGCACTATCTGTTCATTTTTAAAAAGGCATTTTTAGTTATATCCAAGAAAAGTGCAGTTTATTTTTTAAATGAAGAGTTTGCTTTTTGAGATATAACAATATCCATTTTGAATAACCATCTAAATACATGTTGCCGGGTGTTCTTTCTTACCTGATACATACTTTCAGGAAAATTTAGCCAAGTCTCAAATCTGGAATTCAGACCTCTACTATATACATAGCAGTCCACTCTTACTATCTTGTTCACTACTAATTTCCTCCTCCTTTTCTCTTCTGTCATTACACTGCAGTCTGAGAAGCCATTTTATACCACTCTGCATACACATGTTTATGCTTTGGCCTCAGGTTGTCTCACTAAATAACTGTATGGACATGGCCAACCCATCCTCTAAATCAGCATCAAGTACTGTTGTGTGACTTGTACTGATCTCTCCTTTAACAGCAGTTTCTTATGTCCTTAGGTAGACTCCAGAGCTACTTAGAAGAAAGCACCATGTGTGTTTTCAATCACCATTGTTCCTTTAATGTTAAAGAACTTTAATATCTGTCTGTTTAAAACAAGTGATAAATGAGTATATTGGCTTACAGTTCAGTTCTGTGAAATTTTCAGACGGAAGTGTGTCATGATAAGCTGTGCTTCTCTCTCACAGGGTTCAGAAATGCTCAGAAATCAATCACATGAATGCCCATAATTTGGCTTTGGTGTTTTCATCATGTTTGTTTCAAACTAAGGGACAAACTAGTGAAGAAGTGAATGTAATCGAAGACCTAATTAATAATTACGTTGAAATATTTGAGGTAAGCATTTTATATCCTGCCTGTTAAAATAGTTTGGATGTTACTGTTTGCAAAGAAAGATGCATATTTTTGAATGTTATAATTTGTCCTTATTTGTATTTTGCAATGAGGAAAAAATGGATAATTATTTTTTAAAGTTTTAAAATATAACCAGCTTTCTAACCTATAGGTATTCATTTGAATTTATCTGCTTTTAAAGCATTTTTACCATCTGGATTTTGTTGGACAAAATAGTTCTATTTATAAGGTTTTTTGTGCATGTGCATTTTTCTCAGTATGTGTATGCATTAAGTATGTCTATGAAAAGTTGTAAAATTATGAATTTAACAAATTTAATAAACACCAGGATTTTAAATTGTACAATTGAAAGTGTCTTAAGTTTTTTAAAAATTGTGCTTCCAACTAGAGAAAAAGAAAAATTCTGAAATATTATTATTCCATGGTTTTCATTATGTTATCACTGTTTTAGTTACTTGACTTTTGAATTTGCTGTTTTGTGACGTTAGTGTTTTCATATTTTATCAATAATTTGCAAGGATAGAATGCTTTCATAGTTCATCTAAGTGAAAATGGATGAAATAAGCCTATGATTAGAATATGGTAGGTCTATGTCAAAGGTCCAATTCTAGTGTCTCAGATTCGTTACATAACCTTTGTGAGCTTTCTACTAAACTGTGTTTAAGGACTTCCTTGTTTTCTGGAGGTCTGGATATGCCAGATGAAATGAAATGGGTTAGTATAATAGCATAGATGACCATCATCTATAGAGGCCTACATTCTCATTAGAATAACTTATTACAAGGTTCCTTAGTGAAGTAAAAAAGAACTATTTTAATAAAATAAACTAAATCACAGTTTCAGTTTAAATTATAGAATGGACATCATGGTTGTTTGATTTTCTTTGCTCTTTGATCTCCTCTCTATTTCTTTGTATGTGTGTTCACTGTTTTTGATCAGTAGCAACTTCTTGCAATAATCTGTTGCTAGAGAAAATAAAATAGAAAAAAAATGTGTGGCTTTACATGCTCTCTATATATTCTAGTTTTGTCCCATTCCATTTATAGAAATTAAATGATTATTTTCATAGGTTAAACCTATCTTTTCCTAGATGTTAAAAATTTAATAAGCATTCAAAATTTTGGTTTGAGTCATAATTCTCAACCTACAACAACTTTCAGAAACCAGTCATCAATCCCTTCACTTGTTTAAATCTCCTTAGCAATAGGGCTTTCCCCTGTGGAAGCTGCAGCCTGAAGGAATGGCATGCACACATGCTCTGGTCATTATGAGACTGTCTTGTTGGCTTTATTTCTGCCCTAGCTGTGTGGGCCCATTCTGATTAAGGTGGCCATTCTCATTTATTTTTAACTTGTTAGCATTTAAATTCCTTAAGAGTTATTGAGGATGAGTATCTTCAGATCTTGTGTTCTACATTATTAGAATGTCCCAAATTATATTTTAAACAGGTTAAAGAAGACCAAGTCAAACAAATGGACATAGAAAATAGCTTTATTACCAAGTGGAAAGACACTCAAGTGAGTAGTAATAGTTAGATTTCTAAAAAATTAAACAAAAACAAAAACTTCGATTGTAAATAAAAATATTTCTTGTGTTTTCAAGTTCCTATTTGAAGGAAAGTAGAATGAGGAAAAAGAACCTTGATAAAGTAATCGTGTGATTCTGCAATCTGATATATCTATGCATAATATGTTAACATAATTTTAACTATAGAAGAAAAATATATTTATTATCAAGATTTAATAAAAAAAAACTATTGATAGGGCCAGGAATTTAGCTCAGTGGTTCTGGAGCCTGCCTCGCAAGCGCAAGGTCCCAAGTTCGATTCCCGGTACCAAAAAACAAACAAACAAAAAACTATTGATAATGCCAGTGGATTTCAAAAGAAGCATTTAAAGCCAAAAAAATGCTAGAAGAAATTGCAAATTCAGAGAGCAAAATGATTCTTTCCATCATGATTTTGAAAATATAAATTATTTCTTACATGCTTTTGCTTTGTGTGCTCTCACTTGTTTATATTAATGAGAGACTTTCTAATGTGATCTTTGTAATACAGGCTAATTTTTAAGTCAACTTTTCTAAATTCTCTCTTGCTTTCCTTGGTCGTATTACACAAGATGTGTGTTTTCAGGTTGCATTATGCTTTCCCATGGTACCTTACATTGTTTGATGAATATTTGTTGGAACCTCTTAAGGCTGACCATTAATCATCTTGTAGTAACTAGGAATTATAGTGGATTCAAGGTTCCAGTGTAAGTAATAGAAGTGGGTCATATGTGCTCTGTTTATTATTATAGTCAGATAATGAAGCAAATGCTTCCTTGTTAAACCCTAAATTTGCCTAAATCTTGAAATGTCTACCACTAATAAAAGAGGAAGCATTGGAACTATCATTCCATGTGAAGAAGATGAGGCAACATTTGTAGATTCCTCAGTACTAATACTATGATATCATATACTTAAAAAATTATTGTATCCATTTTGACCCAAAGTAATTAGTGCAACTTCCAGGGGAGCTAGACTCTGGTTCATTATCAGTTCTTTTAAAAATTCTCACTATTTTGTGAGTATAAGGATTGTATGAGCCTGAGAGGTAATCTTTAGCAGTATTATCTATATTGTTATTAGAAAAGTATGAATACACTTTTGCATGTTTGTCTTTTATATTCATAATACAATAGAGAACTGAATCTTGAATGCTTTCAAATCTAGTATAAGAAAAAAAATTAAGAAAACAAGTCTAAATAATACAGTAAATAGGAAAGTAGAAGAATTTGGAAAAATTGGTTCTCTTGCTTGAGTTTTTCTTTACTCAAAACTCTCCTCTTGAGTATTTTTCTAACAGTCTGTGTCCTTCCTCTGTTTGAATTTCTTAGCTTTTTTTTCTTTATGGCTTTTCTCTATGAGTTCTTTGTGTTGGCCTTTTTAAATTTTTTAAATGTGTCCTTCCTGGAGAGTTTTGCAAACATAGTGAAGAGCAAAACATTTCAGCTGTATCTTTTTCTTCCTAGAATTTTGCATAGCATCGAAAATGAGAAAGAAAAATTGGAAATGATCTTTTATATGCCTGTGGTAACAGAATAATTATGAACACTTTTTCAAAGTACATTTTTAATGTTTTGCCCATAAATTTAATCATCAGATTTTATAGTGTGGCAAATTTACTTTCACAATGATTTCTTCTCCATTATAATCATTTTAAATATATTGAGTGATGAATGTTATTTGTAAGTGGTTATGTAACCCTGAATTTCTGAAAAGAACTTAAAATATTTTTCAAAATTTTATTTTTATTTTTATTTTCTGACTTGTATCTTCTCTTAGACCCAAATGCTGTTCTTAAACTCTTAATAAGGATAATTAAAATAAATAAACTTTCATTGTCTGCCTATTCTATCACTTCAAGTATTTATTTTATTTATTTTACTAAACTCACTTTCTCTTTGTAGTTTTTTTTGTTTCGTTTTGTTTTTTAGTTTTTTGTACCAGAGATCGAACTCAGGACCTTGCACTTGTGAGGCAGGTGGCAGAACCATTGAGCTAAATCCCCGGCCCTCTTTATAGTTTTAATATAGGTCTGACCTAATTTATCCTTTAATTTCAAACTTTGGTATTTATCACCTTTTTGAAAATTTAACAAGACCTATTTTGTCTTTTAATTATTGATGCTATGGGTACATTACGGTTTAGAGCAGAGTTACATATGGCTTATTTTGACTCCTCATTTTGTTTATCCAGTTAAGGTACATGGTGATGGCCCATATGACCTCTGTTTTCAAAGTCAGCTTATTCCCACTGTAGCCATATTCATGATTTCAGTAACAATGTAAGGGATATTTGAGACCATTAAGCTCTCAAATGAGAGTTAAAAGGTCACTTTGAGGTTGTGACATTTGTGTCCTGGATCCTTGTCATTAACTTTTATGTTGAAATAAATACATCATGCTTGTGAACAAGGGAATAGAGCTAATTTCAGTGTTGTGGAATATTAAGAAATATGAGAATTTTAAAATTCCATTAAGTGCTGTATATATTTTTAGTGATATATATGTGCTGTCTTCACATCTGCCTTTTCTAGGTTTCCCAGGCTGGAGATTTGTTAATTGAAGTGTATGTAGAAAGGAAGGAACCAGACTGTAGTATTATAATTCGGGTGAGTTGTGTTGGATATCGTAAGTATTAGAATCATTTTACATATTTTGAACTTTCCAGTTTTTAAAATATTTTACGTTACTTTTGCAGTTAAAAGAATGACTGATGGTTGTATTTTCATAGCAGTATTCTCCAGGAATTTTATGTTTCAGTCATTTGGAAAGGTTGGATTTTCTGTAGCTTTTGGAAAATTATATGAACTCGAATACTTGGTTCTTCCCTTCCTAACTTCTTAACATTAGGCAAATTATTAGCACTGTCTCAGCCTCAGTCTTCTCATTTATAACATGAGAAAAAGTCACGGTTTTTACATCATATCATTGATGTGAGGATTCATTAAATTTACACATGTGAAACACCTATTTCTTAAGCAAATGTTTACAGATATCTATTACTATAATGGTATTATTATTAATTGCTCACCTTTGTTTCCTGTACTTTAACATCATTCTTCCAAATTATTTGAATATTGGATAACCCTTTTCTTGGGAATATTGATCATTCATGCTGAATTGAAACAGATCCTTCTCATACTTCTATATTCAGTAATTAATTTGCCTTGTGTTTAGTGACTGTGGCATTTCATGTTATTTGGTAAGGCTACTTTTCTTGCCTGAATAATAGACATCCTGCCATGTAAGAGAAGTTCAACTTTAGGTTCTTACCCTTATTAAAGTCCAACATTAATCACATGTAGGGAACAGGGAAAGGGGACGTTACTAGAACCTCTGCAGTAAGTCCTAGTCTCCCGCAAGCCACAACAGCACATGGTGAATTATTATACAGAAAAGGTAGAAAAAATGAGACTTTGAGAAGAAGCTGAGCTTTGGGGCTGATCAGTGCTGCTCTGGGTGGCAAAAAGGAAAGCCCTTGAACCTGTCACACCTTTATTCATTGCATTGGGAGAAACAAATGTAACAAATGACTTAGGATAGAGAGTTCAGTATATCTGGAGAAACAAATGTAACAGATGACTAGGGGCAGCACAAGTCCTCGAACAATGAGGAACTATGCAGATGAAGATTTTGTTCCTTGCAGGATGTCTTCAGCTGGTGTAATCTTGTCCTAGAACAACACAGCATCACCGGACTATTGAGGTCTTAGCTGTGACCGGAGGCCAAAATGGAGTTAATGTTTCTACATGCCATAGCTGGCCTGTAAGCAGGAGAACTAGGCTTAAACAAATGATTTCCCCCCAAAATTATGTAGGATTGCTCCCGACAACAGCATATGATAGTTTTAGACTTTATGTTAAATGTATTGTAATTATTAATTTAGATATTTCTCATGTTTATATATTATGACTATATGGCACTAGCTACCTTACTTAGAACTTGTAGCTGAAATATTATGAGCATTGGCTCTATGATCAAATACTTTGTGAGGCATTTGCCTGGCCAGTCCTTGTCCAGGTGCTAGTTCTTATACTAAATGTGTGATTTTGATCGTAAGGCACATGAGAAACTAGGATAGATCAGTCAGCACATGTCAGTTACTAATGCTGGAAGAGACAGTCACAGCACATGATTTAACTGTGTCTTTACATACACTCTTTAGTAGCACATTTTAATTTTATCTAACTTATAGAGCTATAACAAATTATTGTAGTTTAGCAAAGTTCTCACATTATCTTGCATATATATAGATAAGACTACATTTTCATCTAGAACAACTCCAAATGTTCTTTAAAAATATTCAAAAAACTATTCAAAAATAACCAGTAACATGCATTTCCATGCTTAAGACTTTACAGAAATCTTAAATTGATCATTACCTCAACCCCTGGAGGTAGATGAAGTAGCTAACATCCTAGTTTAGAGGAATGGGAACTGGGAATTGAAGGAAGTTAAGCCCACATACAAACCTGCGTCATCATCTTCCCAACCTGGTGATCATTACACTGACCCATACATGCCACAGAGTAATAATTTCCTAAGTGTGGAGTCCTAGTTGTCTGTAAGAGGGGCTTTGGGTTTCTTCTTTTGGGATCCATCCGGTCATCCTACTTCAAGCTAAGGCACTTCGCCGCTGTCTATTTCACAAGCTTTCCTTCTCAGTAATTACTGTTTTTGAAGAACGGCTCTTCTTTTAAAAATTTTAAATTAATGTAGATCAAAAGCAACATTGAAATGATTCATACACTGTTCTTGTTGTTTGGAATTCTCCACTTTCCCCAAATGCTAACATTTTTTAAAGCTTATATTTTGTTGAGCTTTTCTAAATACAAAAATATACTTTATTATATATTTAATATATTCCTTAAACCCTAAATTTCATGAAGTAGAAAAGATAGATCATGTGTGTTACCTATAGTGAAAAATATTTTTGTTAATTATATATGTCCAACAGGCTTAAAAATAACAAGGGAGAGTAGAAATGGAAATAAGCACATTTCTTTACTAAGAAGTTTTAGAAGAGAGCTATGTAAACTTAAGTTGTGTTCACAATGTGCTAATGTTTAAAATTTGTTTCATATGATTACTAAATTCTAAAGAAGTGGTTTTGGCCAGCGTGCATTGAAGATTAGAAGAAAATAAAATAAAAAGGAAGAAGTTAATCAGAAAACCCAGAAATCCAGGAAGAAGTAGTACGCTTCTGCAGTGGCCTCCAGCTTTAGGACTCTGGTGGAGCTGGGCCCTGGGCTGGCACTGCTGAGTCTGGCCTGTGCTCTGAAATCCTGGCTCCCACATACGTTGGTATCCCACCATCTGTCACTTGGCATGGCAGAGCACACCACAGACTATCAAAACCCGGGGACTTCTTGGCAGGATATCAGCAGTCAGTCAACTGTGTATAATTAAGGCCCAGTCTGAATAAAGCAAGTCACTCTGTACTCGTGATTATAGAACTGAAATAGAAATGGAAAGTTTACTCCTAGGAGATAATTGGATTTGTTGCCTGGTAAAAGTCTGTGTGTGACTAAGAACATCTTCTCTTCCTTTCTCACTAAGTGAGCAAATCCTTCATAATTATCTCTGTACTGTAATATCCCTTTGCATTTACATTAAATCATATTAAATTTAATGGAGATTATCTAAACATGCTGTCTTCTTCATTATAGAGAAGGTAGTTTTTATCATACTAGGAAATGGGGTATTGATAGATTGAGAGTAGCATTGCTATAGCACAAGGCTGCTTCTGTGTTTGACATAGTTTTTAAAGACATTGCCTTTTTTGCAGATATCTCCTGTGATGGAAGCAGAAGAATTAACTAGTGACATATTAGCAATAAAAAATATCCTTCCTACAAAAGATGATGTGTGGGCCACATTTGAAGTCATTGAAAATGAAGAGCTAGGTAAGTGATTTTCATGTTAGGAATTCTTAAATTCTTTATAGTTTGAAGAAATATTCTTATTTGGGAGGAGAAGTCATTACTAACATTTTATGTTTTCCTAAAGATTAGCCTCTTGTTATAAATTCCCTTCTGTCTTAGTGCATGTTACATGTTATCACCAGTCAAGGTTATCTTCCTATGAATTTATGCACCAAAATAATTGATTTTGTATTGACTATAAAAATAAAATGTTAAGCATTAGATAGCTCTGTTTTTGCCTCATGAAAGGCCTTTGTTTATAAGAACAAGCAGTGAGATTTATAAAAATATTCTAAGTGTCACTGCTACCATTCTTATATGCCACTAATTTAAGAAGAACAAAGCATGTATATATAAAGATTATTATTCTAAAAAAATTTTATGTTAAGCCCAGCAGAAGCTTTTTCTTTTAGCTATTTTCTTCCATCTTTATTGAATATTTTGTCATTGTTCACTCCAAAGAAATTGAAGGGTAAAGAGATCTTTTAAAACAACGTGACCACCCCAATAGTCAAGTGCTGCATAAGTTTAATATTCTGACAACACCATTTGGTTTTAAAGGCCTCTAAGAAAAAAAAATGATGAAGAATGTCTGTACTTTGACCATCTGTCTAGCTAATATCTACTAAGGTCTTGGGACCTTTTCAAGTGTAGCTATCAAACTGCCAAAAGGAAAACCTTGCCACCTTCAAGGTAAAGTAAAATTTAAAATTCAATGTTGAAATACCCTATTGTGCATCATTAGAAGTGTTGCAGTCGGTGTTAGAATATAATCAGAATGAATGGGTGCTTTGTTTTTGACTAGTCCTTCTTAATGTTTTAATTCTTTATTTCTCATTATTATGGACAGTTGTCTGAAAAACTGACTTTGTGCCTAGATATTTTTTCAGAATACATTGCCAAGATCCAAGTTCCCTCGTGTCAGTGCTCAGTACCCCCATGGACAGAACTGCTCTAGCAAATGACTCCTATAATCCCTTGGCCCCTTACCCCAACTGTCAAAACCAAATAGATTTGCCTCAGGCTTTACCTGTCTTTTCTGTGGCATTGTTAATGACCTTTCCCTTTCCTTTGATGATTTTCATTCCATTTTTAATCCTGCTTAGATTCTCCTCTCGGTTCTCTAGTCATTTTGACTCATTTTTAGTTTCTTCTTTCCATTTAAATGTGAGATTTCCCTTGCTTCAATTTCCTTTGCCATCTTTCCTTATTTTATAACTTCTTTATAGAAAATATATTCCATTCTTTGCACTTGACTAACATATGAGTATCATTTCTCATGTAAACCTGTGTTCTTCCTCTGTCTGGCCCACTTGATTATCTCCTTTAAAATCCATATTCAGAGTTTCATTGCTTGTTCTCCATTCTCTTTTTGTACTGTCTGGCACCTGAATTTATGTTTGTCTAGACAGGAGCTTTTTGGAATGAAGTAGGGATTCAGTTATTTCTTTTCTTTTTTGTCTTTAATATCTAGCATGGTGCCATACAGTTAACATCTATTAAATAAAGCATACTACGATATGACTGTGTGATTCAGTCATAGTAGAGTCTTTTGATTTTTCTTTTTATTTAAGTTTCATAAAGGGCCCAGCTTACCAGCATCATTGTATTTGTGAAAGATATCTGTTGACATTATTTCCAGAATTATCTGTATTAATCATAGATTAGATTATGTTGTTCTACCAAATAAAACTTTTTTCATTATTTTGCCATTATCTGTTCATCCTTAAATCCAGCTCAAGTGTCCCTGGCTCAGAGGTGACATTCAGATGAACATAGTTTGCACTTATTTAGTTTTGATCATTTGTTTCTGTATTTATAATACTACCTACCATCTAACTTGTAGAATAGAATTGTTTACATAGCTGGCTTTTCCTTTGACCCTGCTTTTTTAGGACACTTAACATATCTTTATAGTTCTCACAACCTGTAGGATAGTGCACTGATATAAACATTCCCTATTAACATCTTCTTAACTGAGGTAGAAAAAGAAAATAAAGGAATGTATCTATTCTGGTTCTAAGTGACTTGGATTGTGGCTCTTTATACAGATATATCCAAATGGAGAAAGTGCATGTAAAGATAACTCTGCTTGTAGATTAGATTTCCAAGTCATGGTTAGAGTTTGGGCAGTTGATTATTTCCTGCATACTTCTATTTCTGTTTATTTGAGAAGATTCACTGGAGAATACTGAGTCACATATTTTAAGTCACATGGTGCAGTGCTAGGCCTGAGGGCACTAGGATTAAGGGCGTGAGTGCTATGTACCCTAAGTAGTCTAAGATAAAAGAGGCAGAAAGATACTGTTAAGGTCTCTTGTTCCTTTTGCTACCTTGTGACCACCATCAACTAGTGTTCTCCTCTGAGATGCTCTTCTGCCACCCTGCTTTGAAGCCAGCCAATTATGGACTGAAACCTCTATAAACTGTGAGCCAAATAAACCTTTCCCCCATTAACTTTGGTGTTGGGTATTTTGTCTCAGCAACAAGAGAAAAGTAACTAAGACAGTAGGCATCTTCTCCCTACTAACGCTTATTTTTTCAAGGATTAAATTAGATTAAAGCATTGGTGGCAAACTTATAACACGTGTTTGTTGTCATTGAAAGCTCTAAAAGATTCACCATCACTGGTTTAAAGGATACTCCTTTGTCATAATATTGGAGCTTTGTGCCTTTGGTCATTGGTCCTCCTAACAGAGAGGAACAAATTGAATGAATGATGACCGGAAATACATACAGTTGGTAGGATTACATTCTGCCTGAAAACATTGTTTTTGAAATTTCCTTTCGGAAAATTAGGGGCTTCTTACCCTGAAAATGACTCGTTATCCAATTGCATGTGATAATCAGACCACAGAATGCTAAGATTTGGTTGATTTTGTGTTGTTATTCCTTTCTAATAAAAAGGAAAGAAAAAGTTATCCTAATGAAGATACAAATAGGCATCAAGTTGATTTGATTTGTGCATGTCTGAATAAAAGAAATATCCTGTGTATGTCAAAAACATACATTTGGAGTTAAGAATTCAAATTTGGCATAATGTTAGTGTTTGGTCAACTGTACTGTAGAAATTGGCAGAGAGAAAACTAGGATGTTTTTACTGCTTCTAGTGGAACAATTGTAGAGACCCAAGAAAAGGGCCTGTGATTATGTTGGTTGACTAAAGTAGATGGAACCTGCACATCACTGACCTTCCCAACTGTTAAAAGCTTTATTTCTAGTAACGTGCAGGGGAGATACAGTGAAATAAAAAAGAAGATTAAATGAAAGGCATAATACTAATCACAAGATTATAGTTGGTAGAAAGAATGTCAGTGGAAAATTGGCGAGTTCCTAATATAAAAATAAATACTCCAAGTAATGAAATGATCAAAAATTAATAAATGGATAAAACAGTATTTCTCTACCCTGTCATATTCAGTGCCCTATTTATGTGATAAATATTCCATACTATTCACTTTACCTTTTTCAGATAGCCTATTATACTTGTTTTAAAATTTAGTATAATACCCCAGATATTATCAGAATAGTTAAGGGAAACATGCATTAAAGCATGTGTTTATGATTATATAATATGCATATGTAGTCACAAATGATGATAATAGATTCTTTCGCCTATAAATGGAATCACTATAGTCACAAGTTCAGAATAACATGTTAATTTTGTGGCCTGTAATATAAGCAGCATTATCATCATTGGTGAAATGGAGAACAATTCTTAGAAAAGTTCTCACTAAAACAAAGGACAATCTCTATATGACAGATTCATGGAACATTAAGTTTAGGCTTCAAGCATGGAAAGTATTTTTCATACCTTGATTTTATATTACAGTCATATAAATATACAAAGTTGAGTTAGACTTTATGTTCAATACATTTATATATAGGATTTCCTTTTAAATGAATTCCTGTTGGGGCACTTTAAATTTGTGCTGGATAGAAAACACTTATTTTGCACATCTTGAAAGATGTCAAGAATCTTTGACCCACTCATGCCAGTTGTTAGGGCAAGCTGCAGTCCACAGTAGCAGAGTATGTTGGTTGGCTTTCCATTGCTGTGACAGATACCTGAGGTAAATCAGCTTAGAAGGAGGGAAGGTTTCTCTTGGTTGACAGTTTCAGAAGTTTCAGCCCATTACCAGTTGGCACCATTGCTTTTGAGCCTGTGGGGAGGCATAACATCATGGTGGGGAGCATGTGACAGAGTAAAGCTGCTCACTGTGGCGGCTGGGAATCAAAGACAGAAGTCAGGGTTTCTGTATCCCTTCAAGGGCATGCCCTCAATAACCTAACTTTTTCATACTAGTCCCTATCCCCTAAGGGTTTTACCTCCTCCCAGTTGTGCCAGGCTCTAGAAACTAATCCTTCAACACCTGGCCTTTGGGAAATACGCAGTGATTCCAAACCTTAGCAGAGAGGCTATTCCCTCCATCAGTAGCTGCTCTTCTAGAATATTCTGTTGTTCTAATCTTCACCTGGAAACTGATCATATCCTCTGCCAATATAGCACTGTACCCTCTAGGTCCTTTACATCTTGAAACAACTGCCTGAGGAATCTCATAAATAGATTTCACTGAGAGGTTTGAATTATGAATCACTTACTTTCTATTCAGCAGTATCATAGCAAAATGTTTTCTTTTTCCTTTCTCATAACTACTATGATATGAAAGATCTAATTGTTAAAAAGGATTCTTGTGGTACTCCTCATTGACACATGAAGCACTTCTACCACCCTGATCACGTGAATGGGACAGAGAAAGGCTTACACGGCCCTTAAAAGTCTGGCACTAAGATACTGACTTTTGAGGAAGTCATACTTGTCTTTGGAAACCTATTCTTCTCAAGGATTACCCTGAACTTTTAGCAATTTTTATTCTGTTGATATTATAAAAGTTACTTATTTTTCATAATACCCTAATGTCAAATGACTTACCATATAATCTATCTTGACAGGTTGTGACTATAGATAAATTTTTTTTGTAAAAGTTTATAGTCCAACAGTGCTTGACTCAATCCAGTTTTTCTGCTTCTTATCTCTTTCTTAAGGTGATAATTAATGCCATTTCATAATGGTAGCATTTGGCAGTCTAATACATATTTTTCTTTCCATCTCATTTTCAACTGTGTTCTTCAGTATCTTGGGTTTGCAAGGTTTTCCTTCTCCTGTAGTATTTCATGCTATGATACTGATGTGAACAGTATACTTTTTGAAATCCAAAATAATTTATATGCCTATTGATAAACCTCCATATCTGCTGTAATATATTTTAGCATAATTAAGAACACTTTGTTTCTGTCACCTAGTATCTACTTGTAATAGTGTGTAATACTGACCCTCTTTAATGTAAATATTCTAACATTTGGAAGTCTCATTACCAATTAAATCCTGTAACCAAGGAGAGTCAGTTTTTATTCCAAGTTACATGCTTTGTTCCAGTTAAGAACATGAATCCTGCTTGGTCAACGCAACTGCTCTATCACTGATTTCCTTACATGCAGAGTGTTGAATATATCTTGCCATCATTTCCTTGCCATCTTCTCAAGTATGATAGGAAAGTGAAAGGCAAACCATGAACTGATCTTTCTTTTCTTTTCTTTTCTCTTTTTTCTTTTCTTTTCCTTTCTTTCTTTCTTTCAATACCTTGTTCAATCTTTGAAAACATAATAAAACAAAACTTAGTTACATGTGAGAAACTATCACTACTGTTAAGTATAATAGTTAAAAATTGGAACTTTAAAGTCAGAAAAGTTTAGGATTCAACTCTTTATTCCTTGATTTAACCATTATGTGACTATAAAATATCAATGCAAATAATAGTATGTATATTGAATGTTATTGTAAGAGTTTAAACTGATGACTGATGTAAAATAAATATACAATGTTTATAATATATGATATATAGTTGTTATTCCAGAAATGACAGCTGTTAATGGGATCAGTAATGTCTCAGAGCTACTAAGCAGTGCTATCAAGAATTATATACCAAATGTAAAGAGAGGGCTTATTCTATAATTAGCTTGACATTTAGATACTTCTGATTTTCATGGTAAGAAACAAATTCATAGGTTAATCAGTGACTGATTCCATTTATGGTATTTGGCCAAGCTTTTGGAAAACTATATGAAGGAGAGCAATAATACTGATGAAGCACAATTTTTTTTCTAGTTTAAAAAATCATTTTATCTGGTGATCTTATAACAAATATTTTCTGTTAATTTATGGCCTCAAAAAAATTCATTTAGTAGTTATTACCTGAAATATTTATCGAGCATCGATTATGTACTCATTACTCTGCCATATGCAAAGAAATATAATAGTAAATAGAGATACAGATTTTAAGATGAATGGATTAATGCCTCTCTTTTAAAAATTCCCATTATAAATAATAAATAGGCTTGCTCCAATAAACACAGAATGAACTGGATTTCACTTTACTGGATAAAAAGCAAAGATCTGGTAAATTACATGGAAGCAGAAAACATATTTTCTTTTGAGGACTTGGGATTATTGGTAACTCCTCCAATGATGTAGCCATAACCTGAGAAAGCAGAATTAGGGAGGATGTGATATATTTGATCCATTTTATCTGTGCTTTTATTATAAGTCACAATATGGGTTATGTATAATGCCTTTTGCATGCTTATTCTTGTTTATCACTGGCAATATTACTTTGAAAACAGAAAGTTCGGGCGGGGGATTTAGCTCAGTGGTTCCACCACCTGCCTTGCAAGCGCAGGGTCCTGAGTTCGTTCCCCAGTACCAAAAAATAACCCCAGGAAGTTCAAGTCCTATGTTCATTATATGTAGGAGGGTTGAGTCGACATATATGACTAGGAGAAAGCAGCGTCAACATCTTCATGTCAGAGCTTCTCTTCTTGCTAATTATGCTATTTTCAGTGCACCATGAAAGTTTGAATTTTTTTTCCAGCATATACTTCTGTCATTATATTTTATTAACTGATTGGCATATTTTAATCACCAACAAAACTTCCTTATGAAACTTTGATTGTAATTGTAAGACATTTTAAAACTCCATGCTGTGAATGCCTGATTCATTTGTCTAAAACAAAAAAGATATGGATGAAGATTCATCAAAAGGAAACTTTTTAACTCATTTAATTTCTTGCTTATTGGACTATTATTATATATCAACAATGTATAATATTGCCACATAATGTTCTTGATTGATACTTCTACTAATAGTTAAATAGTACTATTTTGTAATTATTTTCATATTTTCTTTATAATGTTTTATAATTTCATATTAAGTATGAAAATTAAAACCTATAAATAAAACCTATAAATTATTCATTCATATTTATCAAAAATTATAAGATTCTAATCTTTTTGGGACACAGAATTAAAAGACATGTTTATTAGTGTTAGACAAAATTAGTTTTGCTGTCTTTTTAAAGTTACTTAATTGCATGTGCAAGTTATCAGCTCTCTCTAAACCAGAATATTGTCTACGTTAAAAAGAAGATAGAAGAAGACACATGTTCATTGTACTAAGGGTACTTTCCTGAAATTTTACCCAATAGAAAGCACTTCTGTACCTAAGAAAAAATAGTTGCATAACAAAAAATATTGTTCACAGATTAATACAATAAATTTAACTATGTGCTTAATAATTCTGTAGGAATTAGGGTTTCTTGTGTGTACTTCTCATGTTATTACTGTGTAACCTAAGATATGATCACATATATTGCTATATACATGTATTTTCAAGATAATTTTTAAAATTTATACTAACAAATACAAATTTCAATTTGCAGAGCGTCCTCTTCACTACACAGAAAATGTATTGGAGCAGGTGCTTCGGTGGAGTTCATTAGTTGAACCTGGTTCTGCTTATCTTGTGGTGAAGAGATTCTTAGCTGTTGACACAATTAAACATTACAGGGGTAGGTGCCCTTGCTTCACATTTCAGTGATGGTTGAAAATTCAAGTGGCTTAAGGTTAATTATATGGCACAAGTTATATTTGCAAAGGCAGCAAATGTTAGCTAGTTACAGTATCTGATTACATACAGTTTTAAAGAAGAAAAATATATGAACAGGAGAAAATTTTCCTTGTATGTAGCCCTGTAATAATAGTTGGCTATTTGGTGGTAATACATTTTTAAGACTTACATTTACACTTGTGCCAATGTGTTTTACAATTTTGAAACCGGATTAAATGAAAAACATTACATTGTTGATGAGGCTGCTCTTTGAATTATGTTTATATTTGAAAGTTTTCTGGCCATTCAAGAAGTGTAGTTTATATAGGCTGTGAGACTGAATGCTTACTATAACTCTCAATATATTTGCAATGATATTGGAAAAAACACACAATAAAACATTTCTGGCAAGAATATTGGCCATCCAAGTGGAAGAAAACAGTGTACATTGTAAGGTTAATGAAGTTAGCTAGCACAAGTGAACCAAATAAACCAATCTGAACATGTATGCTATATAAGAAAATGTTACTTTGCCGCTTTCATTCTCCTGTTGTGTTGTCGTCTGCTGACAGCTTAGAAAAATATTTCAATCAGCTTCATTTATCATCCAGGCTCAAAAACTAAAGACTCAATTTTTTTATGTCACTTACCACAACTTTTATAAGTAATATTAATAACCATTACTATATATTAATCTCATATCACTAGCCAAACTGAATAGACATCAAAGCCAGTTAAATATTTAAGTTTTCCTATCAATTATCTTGTCATTTTAATTTACAGATGAGGAGAAGAGAGGATCATAGAAATGGTGGTGTGGTGGCCTAGCATGTGTAAGGCCCTGTATTTGATTCCCACAGCTGGGTTTGAGTCCCACAGTTACCAAATGTTGACCTTAAGGACAGGTTGATTTTCTATGTTTTTTTTTTAAATATGAAAGGGTAGGGAGGGTTATATAGCTCTAAAATGCAATAAACTGATTCCTGTGATTGCAAGCTGTCTAGATAATAGCCCATATTCATTCAGCTCTTAATTATTATACCCAAGCTAATTTAATAGTTTCTGATTTCATGGTACTGTCCTTTGTGTCTTATACCTTCTTGAAAGTATTTTTGCAAAACATACTCTTTTCTCCTGGTCATCTAAATAAACAAAACAGGTATTATCCTTTTTGCTGTAGAAATATAGCCTTTCAGAGACATTTATTTTATTTTAAATTTCTTTGCTATTCACACCTATGATTTTGACCACATTCCTCTGATACCTTCTTAAAGATTGCAATAAAAATTGTAATCATTTGAATGTATCAAATATCCATGTCAAAGAGTAGTGGTTCTCATCTAGAGATAGTTTTGCTGCCTACACACTCTTGAAAATCTCTGTAGACATTTGTGACTGTCCTAGCGCTGGGTTGTGTGATGTGGTAAAGGGTGCATCTGATATTTAGTGGATAGAGTCCAAGGATACTTCTAACAGTGCTATAAAACACAAGATAGCTCTATACAACAAGGTAGCATTCAGTTCAAATGGCACTGGTACAATTTAGATCATATCTAAAATATCTTCTAGCTCTCAAAGTTTATTATTCTTTCATTTTAATATTGGAATAAAGAAAAATGTTAGGGGAAAAACTGGGCTGATGGTATAGCTCAGTGGTAGCACTGTGCTAGCATGGGGAAGGCCTTGGGTTCAGTTTCCAGCACCAACCCCTTCCCCAAAAAAAGAAAAAATGAAAAGCTCTTGAACTTGTGCACCGTGCTGTGTCAACATTATGATACCTACATTATTATTTTTTATGGTTTCTTTTCTTATGGCAAATAACTTTTCTGTCCTGTTTTATCTTTCTTGTAATTTTCTTTTTCTGATATTTCTACAAAATGTCTAAATCTACACATTGAAAAATCTTGGAAATTTAAACCTCCATATAACCAATTAGCTGTTGTTTCAGTCTTAGTGGGCTGGCTCTGTGAATAATAATATATAATAAATACTAACATAGTAAAGTATGATAGGAAGGTTTTGTGTATGTGAGGAGTGGGGTAACTCAAGGCAAGAATATAATTCAGTGCTATTAATCTCTGAGAAAAAAAAATCAAGCTTGAGCCACTTTAAGTCAATCATATGTGAGTAAAATCTGTATTGTGTAAAGCCAGAAGAAACCATACAGTAACAAACTGTACATGATTCTATCCACAAACTAAGGAGGAAGATTGGGTGTTGTAATGATTCTGCATATATTCCATTGTTTCATCTTGATGGTATATGAGTCAGCCCTTCTGTGGGGAAAAGTATCAGGTCTGTAAGGTCTAGACAAAACATCTTGCATAGAAACTGGAAAGCTGAAGCTCAAGAAAAAAAGGTGGTAGACTTAAATGGTATTTTCAGACATTAGCATGAAACGTTCTCTATAGTGAAACGTCAGGAAACTTGTGTTACCCTTTTATCTCTTCCACTACTCTAACACAGTAGGAGCTATAAAACAAGTCCCTGTCCTTGCATTGTCCCCATCTCATGTTGTTGATCTAATATACAGTTCTCTGTTAGTAGTATAATACCTACCAGGAAATTAGATCTCTATGCAAGTAAAAGAATAAACTTTTAGAGTAACACCATAAGTATAATTGAATATTTTCTACTAGTAAATATTTTTGGCCAAGAATAGAAATAACCTTTGAAAAAATAACCTTTAAAATACTATAATTTCCTATCCTGTATAATTTTCATGAATGTTGCAGTTTGACTTATATTCAGATTGTCAAAGCAAAATAATCATTCTTTTTTTTTTTTTTTTTGGTACCGGGGATTGAACTCAGGTCCTTGCGCTTGCGAGGCAGGCAGCAGAACCACTAAGCTAAATCCCCAGCCCAAAATAATCATTCTATATGGTTGGTTCTGCATTTGTTTGGATTTAGAATTGGACTTTTAAAGAAGATTTAGTCTTATTTTAAAAATTCATTTCTTAAGTTATGATTATCCCCCTGTAGTTGTATCTTGAAGAACCTAGAGCTTATTAATACATCATATAGAATACACTTTGTAATAGATTTGGGGGTAAGTTAGACATTTAGTCTACTATGTCTCTGTCTTGGCAAATGTCTCCTAAATCAGTCACTCCTCTAAAATTACTGCTGCATTTATTATATCCACCGCCCCTTAACATTGGGATGTAAAGGAAAATAATAAATCAAATGTGACTTCCCCTATATTTTGTTAGCAGAAAAATTTGGTTTAGCCCAGAAACAATTGTTCTTCAAAACAGAAAAAGAATAATGTTAAAGATTTTGTTTCCACTCTTTTAAGTTTTTTTTATTGTATTTTAGGGGCTAGGTAGAAATCAGCGGTTTTAAAACAAGGTAGTTGGATACAACCATATTTTCTCTAACAAATAGGTAATGTGATAACTTATTAAAACATAAATTTGGGGTCAGAGTATAACTCAGTGGTAGCACGCTTGCTTATCATATACATGGGACTGGTTTCAATTGCCAGTAACAACTACAAAATCCGGAAAACATAAAATTGCACTACAACATCCTTTGCAAACTGTCCCATACTCTAGTATTTGTTACCTAGTTGCCACAAATTTGACTGTCTCTCTGTGTCCCCATTCATATGTCTCTATGTCTGTTTATTTACCATATGTATGTATATATACCTGTATATATGTATTATGTGCATTTCATTAATTCTGTGACAGTTTTTGTGAATTTAGAGGATAAATTATAAGCATGTGCTTCTCTTTGACATAATGTTTTCATCACTTTCTAAATCAAGTTTTATAATGTACTAAGTATTTGCTCTAGTTTAGGAGTTTTAATTTCTTCAGTTCTCTTTATCTGAACCATTTGAAATGTAGACATAAGTAGGAGTAGATTTTATCAATTATACATCCTAAAATGTACAAATAAAATTAATGAATAAAAAAACTAGGAGTAGATTTTAGAATCATTGAACATTTAATTTCTGCTCATTCATTTCAGGTAATTAGATAGGATACTTTACATTTATAGAAGTATATGACAGTAAAAGAGTTTTGTCTGTACTTGAAAATCAATTGTTTTTCAAAAGCAGCATTGTATTTCCCAGAAACATTTTGTGCCATTGCCATTATTGAAATGAGTTAATTAAATGAAAAGAAAGATCGTAGTCTTCAAATTTCATTTCTACTGTATGGATTAAAAGCTGAAACATTGAGATAAGAATAGGGAAACTTCATTTAAGTTGCTATTTAAACTTTGTCACAGCACTCTAAACCATCTTTTATTATTGTTATCTTTTATATTAAATTTCAACATCTGTCACAAGCAAGCTATAAATTTAGCCTTCTTATTACTCTAGAATAAGTGATTTTTATATTGCTAAGGTCTTACTTTAATCACTAAAGTTCTTTAAAATTACTCCAAGAGAATTTCATTCATGACAGTCAAATCTTCTTGATCTAAATGAAGAAAAAATACTTTAAACATATAAGTTCTAACTCAAATGCAGATCATTGTGTATTTATAAATTGAGATTGCTTTATATGGTGTTTTTTAGTTACATTTCCTTTAGAATAGAATAGTTAAAAATGCAGCTGCTCCTGATAAGTTCAGACCTGGAAAAGCTAAGCTTTTTACTGTCAATAGACATAAGAAAACAAAAGAAAATTTCGGGAAAATAAATGAGTCCATAAATCATAGTCTAGCTGAAATTACTCACATTCCACTTCCCATCAAATCTTTTTAAATCCCAAAGATGTGTAAAAAGTTAAAGATAAGACTCAGCCCACTTAAAGTGGAAATATTTTCTTTGAAATTTATGATAGTCCTTGATATTCACTATAGACTATGAATGTACTGACTTTTTGTGATAGTATAATTTTGTAGTGAGAAAACCAGTTGGCAAGTTTTATTAGCTTCCTTGTTTCATGAGGAATCTATATAGAAAATTTAAAGGATTGGTAAGCATTACATTTACCCATAGGAGAGAGAAAATTTAATATATGGAGCCTACTTAAATAAAAGATTAGAAACCCAGCATGCAATCAATGACTGTTTTAGGCCAGAATGTTTACAAAGTTTTCAAGCACAGAAAAATAGTTCAAGTGATATCTCTTTTTGCACTAAATCTCTTGTTCAAGGAAGTATCTTTGTTTAGTGTTTTTTGTCACAGTATAGAAGAATTCTGTGATACTGCTTTTTAAACTTGTCAAACAGCCATTGTGAACCATAATTTTCACATTTATAAGTAAAATGATATTACCTTTATTTCCTACATTGGAAAAGTACATGAGAATCACATGAGGTAAAATACACAAACATTTTAAAAGCTCCAATCTAAAGTATTATGTTTGTACTTATTAAGAGTTTGCAAAAAACTACACCCTAATTTAACATAAAAGAAATATATCACTTATTATACTAAATTTACTTTGGGGTTTATTGTAATTCAGTCTAATAATGCAAATAGAATAGAAAAGTCTTTTTTTTTTACTTTCCACATTATCAATAACATGACAGAGAATCTCTGGCACTTTTTAAGTTAGTCTCATCCTAGTAGTAACTATGTAATTTAACCACTTGAAAGTAATTTAACTATTTAAGAATGTCGTTAGACCTCTAATTCTTCTATCCATTTGCTCTTCCATATAAGAAATAAAAAGGAAATAGATGGGGAATATAATGCAAGGATATTATTTCTTATCCTAAGAAATAATGTTACTTTCTTGGAGTATCACTGGAGAAATAAGGAACCCCCCCCATTGTGTTCTAAAAATAAATCTTCATATATTAATTTTTATAAAGAGAGAAATAGTTTGCTTTTAAGCAGCTGTTATGTCTAGTTTGGTTTTTACTGTTTTCGAACTAAATTTTACTAAAATGAATTTTGACAGAATCCTATATAATGAATGAAATATATCAATAATTCTACTTCCTTGAAATTACAAGAAATACATATTTTCTAGGTATACATTATCAGTTTGACAAAACTTATATGTACATTTAAATTTGGATGAACTTTTAAAATGTTAGCCTACAATTATTGGCAAATGACTTGGGCTTATCATGTTTTCAAGGGGTTTTCAGATAAATGTGTATATCTGAAGAAATAGTCTTTTCCAGCAAGAGAAGAAAAGAGACATGTACAGACCATGAAATAATAAGTCTGTCTGTTGTATATGTCTTGTCACTAATCAGATCACGCATACAAGATAAAAAAGTTTATAGTTTCAGTGTACCAGATTTTGGGCTGAATGCTTATGCCTCCCCCACCCCCTCTCTCTGCCTGCTTATACATACCATTTCATTTACTCCTCTTACTAATCTTAGGAGTTGTTCACTAGTACTTACTAGATCTTTTACAAATGGAAAACTGGCATGGAGACATTATATAACTCCTCAAGGGGACCTGAGGTGAGTGTAGAGAAGCAGTCATTAGAGTCAATATTTCTCCAAATCTGACCCATATGTTTTGTCCTTAACTCTTTACTATCTTGAAATCAAGGATAAATAAACCAGTATTTTAGATTCTTACAAACTTACTCTATGAATTATCAGACTTTCAGATTAGGGACCACTGGTTAGGAGTCACTGGTTTTGCATAAGAACATGTGGTTATCAAATAATTTGGAAAATGTTTTTGCAGGGGAGATGTGTCATGGTCTTAGATACTTGAAATGCCTGTTCTACTTAAATACAACATTCAGCTATTCTGTTCTGAGATAGATAGATAGATAGATAGATAGATAGATAGATAGATAGATAGATAGGATGGGATAGGATAGATCTTTCTTCTTTTTTCTGCTCTGCTGGGGGTGAAACCCAGTATGCTAGGGAAGCACCAAGCTACAACTCCAGCTCTTATGCATGAGATGTTAAGTTTTCTAGTTGATCACAAAATCATAGCTCAATATATCTATGAGTATCAGTTTGTTTTCTTAGGTGTAGTGTTAACTTAAAGACCCATAACAACCTGAATATTGTGGTGCCTTGAAATTTCCTCTACCAGATTAATTAGTCCACTTCTCTTTATTTTAGGCCACCATAAAGTCTCAGGACATAGGCAAAATATAGACACTTCTTTTTTCAGAGTATAATGCACATGTTCTCTAGTCCCATTCCCAATGAAGTCTCTCTTCTCAACATAGCCTGGTCTGTACTGTATATATTCTGATCAGCATTCTTATCTTCTAAACTCAGAACAGAATCACACATCAAGCTCTACTTAGAGCATTTTAGAGCTTCATTTGCTGGCATCTCCAAACTTTTCTAAATTCTTCCCCAAAACCAGCTCCAAGGGCTTCTAAACCACATAGTCAGTTTCCGTCACTAGTGACCACACTTCTGGTACCAATTTTCTATATTAGTTAGATTTCCAATTGCTGGGATGCCCAATAGCCACAACTTAAAGGAGGAGAGATTTAATTTGGTTCATGAATTCAGAGGATTTGGTCTGTGATTGGCTGTCTGGAGGGCAGAAAATTCAGGATGCAGAAGAGTGACAAAGCTGCATACCCAGTGGAGGCTGGGAAACAGACTAGGGGAACACTGTCACAGAGGAAGGGTCAAGGGACCAGATATAGACCCCAGCATCCTGCCTTCATATCCTACTTAGACACACTTGTAAGTGTGCTTTACTAATCCTCTGGGGACTTCCAAGCTAATCAGTTTGACAGTCTACCTTAACCATCACCTGATTTTTCTTTGACCTGTGAATGATTTACCTAGACTCTGGGCATATGGTCACTTCTTATTGATAAAATTTGAAAGGTTTATTAATTTGAACAGTAGTTTAAATGATGAAGATATAGATGCATTTGTCCAGCTAAAACAATATATATCTCACAACTTGATTATAACTTCAAAATTATTTTACCTACTTTGAGAGCAACACTAACATGAATGACCTTTTCCATGTCCCTGTTCTCAAAATCATTAAGCACATCCAGTATTTTTTAAATTGCTTACTATATTTTTTATACTTCTTATTTACCTATAAAATACCCTTTAAATATTTTTGTGTTTGGTGGAATATTAAGAGAATGTGTTACCATATTTTTCAGCGTGGTGAAATGAACTGCATTATGTCTGTTGTATTATGGTTTCTCAGTTCTTGGATCCTCCTGGAGATTTATGTTGAGGTCTATGGAGAGAAATTAAGAGACAAAAGTTGCCAGTTTGGTGAGCCAGTTTACTGGGAAAAAAGCATAATATAATTTAAGCAAGCATTTTATCAAGAACAATATATATGCTGTTTGTGGCCTGTATGTATATCATGAAAACTGTTGAAGTTTGTTAATTACCTTTGTGCTCTTGTTTGTAGTCAAGACCAGTGGCATAGATTGACCCTGGGGATTTTTGTTTCCACTTACTTATTTCATTCTCATACTTGATTTATAAAAACATATTCCTAGTTTTAAATTTTTGTTTTCTGATGCCAATTATAGTAAAGATTTCCTCCAAAATAAACCAAATCTTAAGACTGGAAGTTTTTGGAAAACCTTTCAGCTTTTTTGTAAATTCAGACACTATGCATAGATATTTAAAATTGTATCACCTCAGTAATAGGAAATTGCTAAAGTTCTGCTACCACTGTTTTGCTGAAGTTTTGCACTACCACTTTTATGGTCATTATCCAATATTAGGGGCATAGAAACCTGCAGAATACAGTAGGTTTCTTTGCTTCTATTTTACAGGAAAAGCAGCAGATGACACCACAATGACTGTGTAATGATTTCTTGGCTTTAGGTTATTTTTCCCTTCCATTCTTCTTCAACTCTCAAGAAGGCAATTGAGTATCTGGATTTCAGTAAAAAGTTTTAGACTGAAAATATACTGATAATTTATATATCATAAGATAAAAATTTCTCATCAAAAAGTGTTTTTAATGGAATTAGTTTAAATGATTTCTAAGTGTGGCATGCTGCCCATATTGCACATAAAATCTAGAAGTTTATAAATATGCTACTGTAATAATTTTACTTTTGTCTCACCTGTTTATGGGAATTTTTCTAATCTCATGAGAATTCCTAGATTTAGCCTGAGTTAAAATTCCTGGACTTTTGATTTAGAGTTTCTGAGATGTTTTCTTTTGTCTTTGTACATTTGCATTGTTTACACTGGTACTCATCAAAAGAAATATAATTTAATCTGCATATGTACTTTTAAATTACCTCATAGCCACATTTTTAAAAGTATAAAGAAACAAGTGAAATTACCTTTAGTATTTCATTAGTGTATCTTATTTAATCTCACATACCTAGAATATCGTTTCAACATGTAATCAACATTTAAAATGTTCATATTTTACTTTTTTTCTTTTAATGAAGACTTCAATTTCTGTTATGTGTTTTACACTTGCAGCACACCTCAGTTCACACTAAGCACATTTTTTGTGTGCACCAGCCCATCATGGCTAATTGGACAGCACTGGCAGGCCTGCATGTGATAAGAACAATGCTCGTGACAAATAGTACTCCCAGGAATTCACATTGAGCTGCTGTGTGGTAGAAAACTGAAAACATACAAATGTTGTATCCCAAACACATGAAAAGGTAACTAACTTGCAAAATTAATCTTATACTTTTCAGAAAAAGGCATCAAGGAAGGAGTCTTGAAAATCAAAGAAGAGCCATCTAAGATACTGTCTGGAAATAAATTTCAAGACCGATATTTTGTTCTACGAGATGGATGCCTCTTTCTTTACAAGGACCCAAAGGTAATTGTAGAAGTAGAATTTGAACATATACACATTATTATTTGTATAGTGTGGTCATTTATGTTTTTGTTTTACACTGCTCTCAGCCAGTCACCACCTGTAGTAAAGAAAATGCACAGTAAGCTTCTGATTTCTTTCAGCCTCTGGGATATGACTTTAGTGTACTCAGTAATACAGTAGAAAATTTTCTATAGCCTTCCAGAGCACCTTAAGGATGTTAGGACACAGAATGACTTAGGCTCTGAAGAAAAGTTTAATATGTGTTAGATAAAATATCAGTATCTTAGTGAATAAAATTGAGACTGCGTCATAACCTAAGGCAAGATGCTATATTAGTAATGGAAATTAGTGAAAAGTGGCATAAAAAGGCAAAATCCAAAAGTGATAATAAATCTTAATATCTTTTCTACACATTTGAATGAATTGACTTATTTAATGTTATATTTAAAATTTATATCTTATTATGCTGTGAATGCTATAAAGGATTTTATTAAGGAATTGTGGAATAGAGAGAAAAACTAGAGGTTAAAACATGGAGAGTTAGATAAATGATATAAGTATGAGAATGTTGAACTTGGCATCAGAAAATCTCATCTCTACTTAGAGCTGTGTGAATAAGTAACTTAGCCTCTTTATCTCAATTTCTGGATCTGTAATATGATCTTAATAGTATGAGTCCTGCAGGCCAGGTTATTTTGATGCCTAATCAAGAATATATGTAAAACTATGTTTTAAACTGTGAAACATTTTATAAATATATATGGTAATAATAACATGCTTATCAAAGACACCACAAGAATATGAATAGCTAGGTTTAGACTGAAAAGAATATTCATAATGTATATATCTGTAAAAGGACTCATGTCCAGTATATAAACTGCTCTTCCACATTAGTAACAAGAAAGATAACCCAATAAATAGTTGGCCAAAGAGTTGCAAATAGACTACGTAAAGAAAGACATGGAAATGTCATGTCCAAGGAGCTATTGAAACAAAAGTGCTCAACTTCATTAATCTTCAGGAAATTTAAATTAAAACTCCACCCATGTCTGAAATTATGAGTGACAACCTCTGCATTCACAAGGATGTGGGTTAATTAGAAATCTCATAAACTGTTGGTGCAAAAGTGAAATCAGACAATTACTGTGCAGAATTGTTTAGGAGGTTTCTTTTAAAGCAAAGTTATTCATCCCTTTGCCCTGAACCCCAGCAGTTCTTTTCTGACATGCTATGTCCACAAAAGCGCCTGTACAAAATGTCATAAGCAGCTTTATTCTCAACAGGTAAAGCCTGGAAATATTTCAGAACCCCTTGGGAAGGAGAATGACATATTCATACAATGCGATTACTACTCATCAATAAAAAGGAATTGAAATTTATGCTACAACAGTGATGAGTCAAGAACTTCAACACAGAATAGTACCATATGCAAAACAATTCTGTGGTGAAGGAAGTCAGATTTGTGCTTAGGTTGGGGAGAAATGTTGGGGAAAGTCAGTAGGGCATTTTACTGATAGAAACATTCTCTATTCTGGTTTGGGGGCTGGCCACGTGGGTGTATACAGTGACTATTTCTTTGAGATTAAAGCACTATTGAGGCAACTACTTTAAATGTAGAATGGCAGTCAGCAGGACCTGGAGAGTTTTTTATAACTGAATTATAAAATTCACTTGTGTAAATATTCCTTGCATACTTTAAACGAATGACATTTCACTCTTCTGCTCTGGCAATGTATAAAGACAGACCAAACAAGAACATTTGTTAACATGTTATGAAAAAAAAGAACTGTTAGGCAGCTTTCCAGAACTACAGCCCTATTTCTTTATGGATTTTGTTGAGCTCTCTCCATTCTTTAACTACTGTCCTTGTATGTTCTTCCAGCAGGAAGCCTCGGTGTGGGCATAAATAAATCTTAGTAGCATTTCAAGTTTGCTTTCTTCAAGCCCAATGAATTATTCAGCTAGGAGGCTTACAAAACAGTCCTAAATTCTGCATCCCTTATCTCTCTATTCTAAAAGTTATATACTTTAACTGAATTTCCACCTTATTGTTCTACTCAGAAACTCAGAAAGGGTCCAATAACAATGAGTAGTCATGGGTAGCAGTAACAGCAGTACAATCCAGAGCCCTGACTACCATTTGATGGCTAATCTATGTGAAGCATAGTTCTGTATATTTCACTTGGACTATGTCTTATTATCCTTTTTGGACTACGTCTTGTTATCCTTATAATAACAGTACTATCACTGGTCGTATTTTGCACATGAAGAAATTGAGCCTCAAAGGTATCCCTTAACTTGCAGGAGACCATATAACATGTAAGTGATGGCGTCAGAATTCATTCCCAGGTGCCATATTTGAAGGCCTAAAAGAATTTTCTAAGAAAACTTAGTAAATTTTCATTATTTTAGGTTGGTGGGTTTTTTGGGGTGTTTTTTGCTAATAGAATACTTAAAGATGATAGGGATTTTTTAAAAGAGTACCGAATATTTTCAAATATGATTATACATGGAGATGACTTGTTTATACTATTTTCACTTGAGCTGATGGAAACTTTAATGTTGATCATGTGGATGGACTAGTGACTCCTGCAGATGAATTGTTTTTGTGAGATGAATAATTTCATATCCCTTAATAGAATAGGTATTAAGAATTTGTATATTTTTGAACGAGCCACCCTATTCTAAGATAATTTATATGAAGTGGAAGGTAGTGATAGTCTTGAAAGCCTACCTGAAAGCCAGTCCTCTTTAAGGACACAGAATGCATTTTGTTTGTAAATCACAGTGATCAGCAGTTAAGGAAAAATAGTCTATAATTATTACATATTTGAAAGTTTTGTTTCCTTAATCTGTCAGCATAAATTAATACAACTGTTATGTTAATGTGCACATTAAGGAAATCAGAGGAGAGGTTGTTTTTCCTTTAAAACTCAGAGTGCTGTTTATTTTCAACACTTGATTTTGTTTTTCTGGATTTTTTTTTTCTGTTGAAGTCGTTGCCTACATTAACTTTTCAAATGATTTGATAGTAAATAATAAATAGTAAAATCTCCCAACTTATTTGAGTAATGATTTTGGCTCTGGTTTTGACAGTTGCTATTGATATGTGTGTGACTCTGTGTATGTGTGTGTGTGTGTGTACGTGCGTGTGTGTACGTGCGTGTATGCACGTGTGGTGATTTACTGAGAAAGGAGTAAAAATTACAAATTGAGAAGTGTATTTAAAGCAACTTTGTGTTAATTAGAGATAATTTGTGAATGTTCATTAACACCAAATTAGAGTAATACCCAGGAGAAGATATATTTTGTTTTGAAAGTTTTCCCTCACAGAAAATGTTAATTAAAATGTTTTCAGACTTGGTTTACAAAAAAGGTGAGAGGTTTCAAAGAATATTACCATTACACTGTTAATGGTGTGAAAAAAGCAAATGAGTAAGGAGGGGAGTGTTAAAAGTTGCATACACTAATAAGCAAACTCTTCTTAGCAACAGGAATAATTTTTTAAGCATACTCATTTAATTGACTGAGTTAAAACTTTACTATGAAATATAGTGACTAAAGAAACACATTATAGACTTCTTAACTGTCTAGTGTATTAAACTTTTTGGAAAAATCCAGAAATTACATGTTCTAGAAGAAAGTTGTAATATGCCAACAGTAAACTTATCTTGCCAAGTGAGATTTTTTTTTATAGAGACTTCCATTAGGCATTTTACAGTTTCTCTTTATGCATGTTCAATTTACAGACTAAAACACAAAACACTCTTCACAATTTGTTAAACTCCTCTCTACTGATACTATTTGAGTTCCCTTGGATAGAATATGGTATAAATAAGCTTACATGCCAGAAATGGCTTGGAGAATTGGTTGTATTATTTTAGACTCTCGATCTATTACCAAAAGGTCCTCAGAATGTAGGCAGTTCTGAACTTATCAGTGTTCCAGAAAAACAATGACTGTCTAGTTTAGGAGCAGTGTGTCTCATGCTTAGGCATGCAAGTGCTGTCCTTCCCCATATTGTTGGTATCACTGCCTCTCTCTTTACCAGGCTGCCACAGTTAATGCTGTGTCCAAGAGAATAACTGAACTCTTGGGGAGGATCCTCACCTCAGTTGTAATCTCATGTAACATCTGAAAGAGTTGGCCAGGAATCACCTCTACTGTATCTGTTCCTAGTAGGCAACTTTCCTTGATGTATTCTATAGTGAGATACTTACTACCATACAAAGCTACGTCACCATTCTGTAACAGTTCAAATTGTTAAAATGTTCCTCCTTAAAATTGAGCAAGTTAAAAAGCTGTGCATTGTGGGGTACACCTGTTATCCCAGTACTCTGGGAGCAGGCATAAGGATTGCAAGTTCAAGCCCAGCCTAGGCAATTTAGTAAGTTAGTGAGACCCTCTCTCAAATAATAACAATGATAATAATAATAATAATTAATAATAATAATAATAATAAGCAAAACAACCAAAATAACCATCTGGCATATAGCTCGATGTAAAGCTTCAGTCCCTACTACCAAATAAAAAAATTATTACTAAGTTGGCAAAACACAAAATCAATATACATAATTTAGTCCCCAACTAGTCTTTAAAAAGAAAGTGTTTAAACTATCAGAAAATGGCTTTAGAAAAGTACAGAATTATTTGAAGAGAGCTACAGAATTTTACTGATAGAAATAAAGTTGGTGTTACCATTAGTAATATTGATTTATTGATACACAATAATTCTTAAATTCTCAAAGGGAATTATTTTTTAGATGTTTGCAAAAATGACAATTCACCCTCAAAGTATAAATAGATGAGAATACCTGAAAACCTTTTTGGGGATAAAAAAGAAAATAGTTGTGAAGTATTTTCCTAACCAAGTGCTAATGCATGCAATAAAGCTAAATTAGCTTAAATAATATAATTGTAACTTAAAAATGAACATAGAGGAATGGAACCATAAAGTCAGGTGAAAGAATTCTATATCTATATATTTTTATAAATAGACCGTTAAAAATACTTGTTTAATTTAGGAAAGTTTTTTCATTAAATTGAGTTGAAATTCTCACTTATACTGATATAGAAATCCCAAATTGATAAAAGAATTTATATTTTTAAAATAACCCTGAAAGTTACAAGAACATGGAACTGAGTATCAGCTGTGTCAGAACATTGTAAACTTTAACAAGTTAAAGTCCAAAAGAAAAAGATATCAATGTTTGACTTCATGAAAATACTGAAAGTCATCAGCTTAGTGGCATATGCCTCTAGTCTCAGCCCTCGGGGGGCTAAGGCTGAGTTCAAGGCCAGACTGGGGTACGTAGTCAATTCAAGGCCAGTCTGAACTACAAAACAAGACTCTCAAAAAACAAAAACAAAATAATCAAAGTAAATATTAAGCAAAATTAAGCCAAGTGATTTCAATAGAATATTCTGTTAAAAAAATCACAATTTTATATTTAATATGTAAATAAGTAGTGTAAAGAAATAGGGACAAAAGTAAATTTGTGATTAAATCAAAATTGCACATGGCTGGCAAATACATAAATAAAAGTTTAACTGTAACTATTAATCAGCCTAGGAAACATCTCAATTATGCATCTAACCTATGATTGAAAGGTTCCATTTCTGGGAATCTACCCATAAGTGTAAAAAAAGAAATCATGCATATTACATATACATATATATATATATATATTTGATGATGAAAATCTTAGCAATAAGAATCAATTCACCATGTGAATTCTCAGATTTTTAATTGTTGCTGCAGAGGCTATGGATCATGAAAGCATTATGTTTTAGTATCTTCCTATTGACTTCTCCTATGTATATTTTCTCTAGTATTCTCCCAGCTTCTTTGCTCCATGGAAACCAGGTTTAATTTTATAAATATAGTATCTTTCACTTTTTAAACTTAACTACTCTTATAAATAACATGACAGTAGCATTCAACCTGTATAGAACTTAGTATTTAGTTAAGCCAACATGTTTACTACATCGGCTTTTGTGCTTTGTCCTGGGACCCTAGCAAACATCTGTATTGCAATTACTATGAGGTTATGTGTTTTCAGTTTGTGATAATAATAGATATTATTTCCTGTGAGCTTAATTTATGCCAATTACTATACTAAACCCTTTCTAGACACGCTTTTGTTTAATCTTTACAGCCCTTCACAATAGCACCTTGTTTGCACATTTAATCTTTACAGTTACCCAATTTAGAATGTCAGTATTTTTATTGTTCCAATTTACAAACAAGATAAGGAAAGCAGAGAGATATAATGTGAAATTACAAACTACTAAAAAAAAAGATCAGATTTACACCAACATCTCCTTGACCTAAAAGCTCTTACTCTTGCCTACCAGTTTGAAGCACAGGATTTCCTTGAGAATTTTTAAGATATTGGGAATGTTATGTTGTGTTACAAATCATTTCTGTTGTTATTTATAAAGTACTGTGGACTATCAAATGGTAAATAATGAAATATGTGCAGTTTCTGTATTAAACTGTAAATTAGAGTGTAATGATTCAAACTTTGTCTCTCAGACAACTTCCCTGGGAGAAAATATATCCAAGTAGCTTATAAAATTATTGAATATTTACCTATGCACAGGTAGATATATTAATATATATGATATATTAAAAGGGGTATAGAGGGTATATAATTGATCCAGGGCAAAATGTAAACTTTTTAATAGTGTATTTTAATGAATTATTTATAATAATCTTCATATGACTTTTTAAGATAGTTCAATATGTACGTATAGAGGTTTATAGTTTTGTCTTCCGTGATACTAAAATCAAAAATCTATAGAAAATTGTATTTTCATGTTTTATTTGTCTACCTCACGATATATGAAATAACATGCAATTGAGCACAGAAATATGGATATATTTGAATTCAGGGTGCTGCTCTAGATAACACAATGGTGTGATGAAATTATATAATACATGGCATATGTATTATCTAATATTTGTAAAATATGAACAAATTATCAGGTCTGATACACATCTGTTGTGTTTTTATAAAGAATTATGGAGCTGTGCATGTGTTTGTATAGACACAACTAAACATATGTACATATCCAAAATTATCTAAATTTATTTCATTACATTGTAATCAAAACAAAAATCGGCATCATATTTATGAAGCACTGGAGAATCTAAACAGTTTTAAATGTGCAAGGAAATTTATAAATCTATGTGATTACAAAATTTTATTTTTTCCTTACAGAGCAGTAAACATGACAAAATGTTTCCTCTTACTTCAATGAAGTTTTATCTTGGTGTGAAAAAGAAAATGAAGCCTCCAACAAGGTAAAGTTAGAGAGGAAAATGCTGTTGAGAGAAAATTCAGAAAATGAGTTATTGAAGGCTTTCAGGATCAGGGGCATTAGTTTAACTTTTTTACAAAGAAGGCTTTAGACAAATTCTTTAAGTTGCTTAAACTGTGTCGAAAGGAAGCACTTTGCACGTAGATAAGAAATGATGTTCCCACTGAGACTAATCATGCTTCTGGGTGATTGCTATCTCCCCTGCATAATGCAAGCAATCCTCAGAAGGCCCTGCCAGCTGAGGATGGGAGCTCTGGACAACCACTTCTTGATTGATATGCCCAGGGTGCATAAATGTTCCATGCAAGTCTGCAGACGGAAAGTCAATGCTGCCCTGATCTTTGACTTGTATAATGTTTGTGGCCTGGCTCTATAATTTCCCCTTTTTGCTACCAAAGTTGGTACTAAACACAGCATACAGATGGTAGAGAGGATGTGGACCTATCATGCTGATGTGTTGTGTGCCTTTTCAACACTCGATCCACACCAAAATTCAGTTAATACCACAGTTTCTTATCATAAATCCTTTTATGAGCTAATTAATCCTCACACTAATACAGTACTTTTGTTATCATGAAACATCATGAACTCCATGCTTCTCAGATTGTTACTGAAAATTTCTTTACTTTTTCCTCCACACTTAATTTCTTAGCTAAGCACATACATCTGTTTTGCAATTAGCCTATGCTTTAATTATTATGTAAATAATTACCGCAGTTTTTGTAGACATTTGTCCTTAGTGTATTAGTTAGCTTTGTGTTGCCACAATAAAATAAGACAGGTTACTTCTGGTCACTCAGAGGTGACTTAATATACTGAGTAAGGACAAATGCCTATGAAAATGGTTGAAATAAAATAAGAACTTACAGTTTCTGAGGTTTAAGGGCATGGTACCTGCCTGGGCTCAGCTCTGGAAAGGGCCCTCTCAGGTACAGCACATCCTGAGAGTGTGTGGTTATATATGTGCAGGTGCTAGCAATCATATCTCCCAGGAAGCCAGAGAGAGCTAAGGTGGGGCCAGGCTCAGTCTTTCATCACAACCTTCTCCTAAGAACCAGCCAGGGCTTGTGTGTGAAGTACTCTAATTTCTTCCCACAGCACACCCCACTGACCCAAGAACCTCCCAGTAGGCCCTACCTTCGAAATGTCCCATTGCCTCCCAGCAGCACCACAACAGAGACCAAACTCTCAACTAATGGACCTTTGGGGATGGAGGGACAAGCCTCATGCAACCCAGAGCACCCCATCAAGAGTGTCATCTCAGAAACCCACCCACCTTTTGCCCATAACATTATGAGACTACTTTCTTCTGTCTCCCTTCAGCCTGTGTAAATCTGTAGTCAAATCCTTTAGCATTTACTTTTAGATACACTATACCTATTAATCATCACTTGTGGAAATCGGTTCCATTCTGGATTCCACCATTAAATCTTACTTTGTTCCCATCTAATCCTGTTTTTAGTCTTGTAAAAATTATCATTTTTAACGTACTGCTTGTTTGTTTCTTCCTATGTGATCCAGTTGGGGTTTGACCGCATACTCTGAGAAACATCACTGGTAAGTTCATAGCTGGCAACTTTCCGATTTGATTTACTGCTGAGAATCTGAGTGAAAGAATGACTTCCTTATTTAGCAGATAGAAATATGGACAGGAGAAATTATTTTCTAAATACTTGCAATCTAAGAATATAGATTTATATCAGGGTCCAAGTTTGTTTCAACCTCACATACCCTCTTTGACAATGCCTCTTAAAAGAAGCTATATCTTATTTCTTCCAGGGATATTATGTGATTGTAGAATCCAGCTTTTAGGAGAGAAGTAGGTATAATTCAGTTTTTTAAAATGTGTAAGAAGTAACTAAAATAGGATTAAAAAGAAAACACATCCCGTTCTTAAACCAGTTCTATCTATACATGTACATTTTGTACAGATGTCATTTATATCTCATTAGGCTCCTAGAGATTTCACTGCCTCCATCCTTGCCTACCTGTATCTATTCCGTTGCTAAATTATGCCTGATCTGCCTCTTTTTTACCCCCTTACCCACCCATACTTCTGAATCCTTCATCAGGCCTTCTTTTATCTACCTGAATTATTCCAGAAACCTTATATGCTCTTCATGCTCTGACTTTGCTTTAATTTTCTACCATAATCTCCATCCAGCCGCCAAAGAGACTTTGCTTCTCCCCTGCTTTAAAATTCTTCTGTGAGTCCTGTCATATGTAGGACACATTACAGGATTGTTACTATGGCATTCATGACCCTTTAAATGTAACTCTGTCAGCTTCATTTCCCACAAGTTTCTCTTTTAGATTTAAGGACAGAGGAGCCTCTGTCTTTAATTGTCCACTTCATAACCATATTACATTTGGTCTTTTTACTCATCTCTCTCCTATGGTGTTTGATGTTTCCTTCCTTATGACTTCCAAATTCTCCCTGATGAGCCAGCAGATGCATCTGTCTTTCTTCTTCCAAACAATTTGCTCAAATGCCCCCAAAATCTTATCACATTACTCCTACTTCTGGTCATTATTTATTTGTCTCTACAGTATTTTATGTATGTATGTACATAACATGAGATTTTTATTTTGGACAGAGTAATAAGACACAATGATTTTGTAAAAATTAAATGAAGAAACAATTTTAGATATTTTACCAAGTAAATTATATTTAATACAGAAATATGAAGGATATAATTATATTGAAATGTCCATTTTTCACTCTGAAATCAATTACAAATTTTGCTTATACAGAAAACAACCTTGTCATCTCCCTTTCTCTGTATCTGCTGTTTCTGTGTTTGTACTCAAGTCCTCTTTGCTTCTGCTCACTGTGTTACAGTTTATTCATTTACATGCCCAGTTTCCCTAATAGACTAAGCAAACCTTGAGGGCAAGATTTGTAGTTTATTTAGGAGTTTCAATAAAAGATTACTGAATCAGTGTTACTAGATATGTAGCATTTTTCATGTAGTTAATTTTTCATGAGTCTAGTGTTTATAATCATAATGATGGAGATTATATCTAAGCCTTTTCAAAATCTGCCATTATGGGCATGTGCACAATTTTTTTTTTGAGGGGAGGACCTCATAGTTTCTGGGGGGAAAGATGTTTATTTACTGTCATGTACTTGAAAAAGCAAAATGACATGAGCTTCCTGGCTTTCCAAAAATATTGCTTATTTTGCACCATTTCCCAAAGCCTTTTGTTAGGTTTTGTTTAAACCAGCATATTTATAGTTGCTTTCATATTATTTACTTAATATAAAACTAAAACCACTTGTACAGAAATGTTACAATTTGATTGCCTTAAGCTGTAAACTATGAGAAACGCAGATTTTTGTGGTTGCTACACCAATAAATACAATAGAGGTTAGCCAGTTGTCTTTTTGAATCATTTATTTTATAAACATTGTTTTGCAGGCACCTGTGCTGTGATAGTTCACAAACCCAGATGGAGTGGATGGCCAGTATCTTTATTGCCCAGGTATGATATCTGTTCCAGTTATCCAATGAAATATAAAACTTTCGTTTATAGAAAGTGTTGATGTGGTAGTGATTCTCAGTGAATTTCTGTTTTATTTTTGGATTGAAGTCAGGGCCTCCTTCATGCCAAACAAGCACTGTACCACAGAGCTGCATCTCTAGCCCTTCAAAAACTTTCATTTTCACATTACTTTTATTTAATACATAAAAGTCCAGTTTACCCATTAGCCTTTTAAAGAGAATTTATTCTCCCTGTCCACTCTCCTTTTGTTTTTGCCATCCCAGTAGCTCCTTGGCATAGGAGAGGCGAATTATTTTAAGATGGCAGCATGGGAAGGAGGGACTTAGCTAAATTGTCATCCTGCCAAAATCCCACATAGATCTTCATTTAGTAAAGTGCCTTATTTCTTTTCTTGTTCTCTCACTCGCCCCACCTCTGCCTTTCCAGAAAGAAAGATAGGACTCTACATTTCTTTAATACCTGCCATGTATTAGACACTTCATAAGAGTCAGTTCATGTATTCCTTCTAACAAGAGGTGCATAATATCCTTTGGCTTTAAAATCAAATGTTCTATTGTTTGCTTAGGACCATTCAGTTAGTGGTTTAAACCCATGGTTGTCTGAGGCCAACACATATGCTCAACTTCCCATTTGTTTTCCTCCCCAGAGAAGGACTCACTCATTCAAGAAAGGGTTAAATAGTCCCATTAATAGGGTTGGTTTCTTTCCCAACCTTGTCAGGCTGAATTCCCAATAACGCTTCTCACATAGCATTGAAATTCATTGCTAACAATTATGTTGCCACTCTTTAATGCTGAGGAGGTAGTTTCTTGTTTCTCCTATAAGAAAGAAGTTAACTCACCCCAAACTCTAGTCCTTATTTGCTTTGAAAACTATTTTCTTTGTTCATTTAATTTATTAACCTTACCAGTGTTTAATAAACATAGCTCTTCTCAGTCTCTCATACTACTTGGAAATACGTTTGCAGAAAAAGACTAGTTGCTTTTTAGACACTTTTCTGCTTTAAATAATCAGATATTCAAACTCTACTTAAAAAGCAAAATTTAAAAACTTGCTTTGAAATATTTTAATAAAATTGGAACTGTATAGTCAAAAGTGATTAAATTGTGGTACAACTAAACTAGTATTTTTTTGTTTTTATATTTGAGGTTAGTACACCCTGTAGTTGAAACTCAAAAAATGAATAGACAGAAAGTAGAGACTGTTATGACCAAGTTATTTCTCCTGCTGCATGTATCCTTGTCTTAGTCCTAATGACATGGCTTGATTATCTTTTTTCTGTTCATTGTACTTCTGGGGATTATTTAACTCCTCCATTAAGATAAATACAGAGGCCCTCCTGGATTTAAAGATTTATAGCTCATCTTCATAGTAAAGCAGCGAAGTAGTAGCACATGCTTTTCCACAGTAATCAATAGTAAATGTACCCAGAACAATTTTGTAATACTTAGTCTCATCTCCATCCTTACTTCACAAGTCATCAAGATTTCAGTTTAAATATCCTTTTGTCAGAGAAGCTTTTCCTGACCTTCATACCATTAGACCCTTAGTAGCACGCTGTACTTCTAACACCAATTAAAAACATACTTCTAATGAGTTATTTCATGTCTTCCTCTCCTACTAAAATGTAATCTCCATGAATAGGAGGACTGTTTTATTCGACTCATATGTATATCTGCCTCATGTAGCTCCTGCCTTTTACAAAGTGCATGTGCAATATTTCTAAAGTAGAACAAAAAAATAATAAAATTTCAAATGGACATCAGTATGATGAAACAATAACTGATATGTTGGCAAAGAAGAGACTATGAATGTGGTAAGAAAGGGCACTAACTGATGAAGTTCTCAGGTGATGGTTTTCTGAATAGGTAGAGTAGAGCTGAGATCTTGTCTGCAAGAGGTGAATCATCCAGGTATCCAAGAGGGGTCTTTCTCAGTGAGGAGCCAGTAGGTCCAAGTGTAATGATCTCAGTTAATTTCACAAATACATGAAGGACTGTGTGAGGGAGGATATAAGAGATGAGGAAAGCAGAGGACAGATCTTGTAGTCCTTGTTTAAGAATTTGAAACAAGAGAAGGATGTAATCTTATTTTAGTTGAAAAATACTTGACATTACTTTATTGAGGCTGCACTGTGGGGGATCAAAGATGAAAGCAGGAAGAAGAGTGAGGCAAAATCAGTTCAGACTAGAGTGGTAATGGTAGATATGATAAATACTCAGATTCAGGAATATTTTGAAGGTAGAGCTAGTAAAACTTTTGAATTGATTAGTTAACAGCAGTTTGAGAGATGGAATAGAAATCAAGGAAGAATCCTAGCTTTTTCACCTGACAGTTACCAGAGGTGTAGAAGAAAATTGAGTGTTCTCTTTGGGTCACAAGAAATTTGAGATGCCTTTTAGATACACAAATAGATGTGCTGAGTACCAAGTTGCATCAAAACCCAGAATTTGAGACTGAATTATAGATTTGGGAGAAGTCAGGGTTTGGATTATATTGTAAGCTTTAAGACTGGATGGATGAGAGAGAGAGGAGGGAAGGTGGGACGTAAGGGAGAGCTTTCAAATTCACCTTGGGATATTCCTAATTTTAAACATCAAGCGGACTAGGAAACAATGAGAAATATGGGATGAGGAAGGAGAAAAACCATGCGATGACTGAGTACAGAAGATTCTGTTAGTAATTTGCTGTGAGGATAATAAGGTTATGGCTAGAAAGGAACAAGAGATGAGGTAGGTTTGGGGTTTTAATGTAAGATGGGGGAGTATATATTTGCATATATGTTGGTAGTGACAATCCAATAATTGGAGGAATAAATTGATAGCAGAGGAGAGAGATTATTACAGCATTGGAGACCTTTAGCAGACTTGCACCAGTGTGACCAAACTGTGACAAAATAGTTGTCATTATTGATGAGAGTCATTAAACAACAGAAAGTGTAGCACATTGGTTTTCAAATTATTGATTACATATTGTGGCCCATTGGTCAGTTGTAGATATGACTGGAAAAAGTTAGATGTAATCTGAGCAAATGCTGACTGCAAATAAGAGAAAAGCTCACCTATATGTGGCTATGCACACAGAGATAAGCAAATTACATAGTGGGAAAATTATATTCGTAAGTGATTAACCAATAATTTGTTGGATTAAATCAGTAAGTTTCTGACTTGTGAGGCAAGAAATCTGTTAAAAATGATGAGAAAAAATAATCTGCAGAGTGAAGATTTAAGTTGTCCTATGGTAGAACTTTAAGGGAGTGCTGACTGCTCAACTTGAAATTTAAGGTTAAATTTAAAAACGAAAACAACTTAAAAATGAAATAGAATAATCTTCCCTGTGTTTCCTCTACCAATTAACAGGCACCTATTGCACAGGTAGAATTGTGGCTAACTAGATTTAGGGTTTTGCAAAGGGATGGAGGGAGAAGAAAGAAGTTAAAGATAATTGACAAAGAAGTGAGTTTACTAATTCATCATGAAATCTGAGCCAGGCAAGGAAGGAAAAGATTTTTTTAAAAAGTGGAAAAAAGAGTGGTGGTGATGATGGATTAGCAGTCTCAAGCAGTCAAAAGGGTATTTACAGTGAATAAAATTAAGTTAGGTGGAAAGATAAGGAGGTCATGATTAGAAAATGGGAGGAAAAAGTGGAGATTTGGGGTATAGTCATTATTCCTCAGCTATATGATCCCTGCTTGATCACCTTTTTTCCACACTTCCCAACAACCAAAGATATTAAATTAAAACATAACACTTAGACCTAGAGATTTCTGCTTTTCCCAGTATATCATGTAACATAGGGACTATTCATCAGTGATTTGAAAGTGTAAAAAATAATTTAAAAACTTACCTATTTCCTTTTAGCCAGTTTTCTCTTGCCTTTACATGTTGAGAACATCCCAAGTATATCATGTTATATCAAATTATTTTTATATTTGAGACCATAACATAAAACTAGCATTCTAAAGCTTTGTAACTTTCTCTCTGGTTGAAAAGTAAGTACACTGCCATTGTACACTTGCTGAATCAAAGTAAATACTTCTCTGCAATTCAAGAGAATACATTATTCACAAAGCCTAATAATAATAAGATTTACATTGTAGGATTGTTGAAGGTTAAATGAAATAACAAGTATATTGCTAAGCTCAAAGCCTGGCAATATACCCTTCAATATAAATCAGCTATTATTATATACAGTAAATATTTTTAGAAATGAATTCTTTGCTATAGAAAAATACATTAAAATACTAATAAAAAAGAACAAGAATTTGTTGGTATATCTCAAAAATTAAAGAAAATATAGAGTAGAATCAAGCTATGCAGTTTACCAAATGGTTTTATTTCATCAAAACATCTGTAAATTTCTTTTTATACTTGGTTTTCTGTATATCTTTTATAGATTGTTGTCTGAAAATCAATTTGCTTTCCCAACTTCTAAAAAATTAAACTACTCTGAGAAATAGAAAAATTCTTTAAATGTTTTTCTTTTATATGTGTATCTCAAGGTTTAATCATTCAAAAGCTTATATTTTACCTCTGGACATTTATCCCTCATTGCAAAGTTAACTTTTCTCCAGTCATATCTATAATTGTTTATTGCAATAGACTATGTAGTCAATAATTTGAGAACAAATGTACCATACTCTCTGTTGTACAGTGATTGTCAATATAAATGTATGTATAAAAAGGTAACATTTCTGTAGAATTCAATTAGATGAAAAAGTAACATTTTTCAAAACGTTGTAAAAGAAGTCTCATTTTTCTAATAGCCAGGCCTGAGGTTGCTTTGGGATATGTAAGATCAAATTATTTTTACATTAAAATCATCTTTGATATGAGGAAAAATAAATGTGTAGTTATTTTTATTATAAAGCCTAGAAATGTAGACAAATGCATTATTTTTCTTTCCAAAGAGATTTTCCAGTTTCCTCCAGTGTTTTCCCCCATTTGGTTTGATAAGTAGTACAGAAGGCATGTATTTGAAACTTAGAAATTGAACTGAGCCCTCAAATGCTCAGTTCACTTAAGAGTTTTACATCCTCAAGCTATGTCACTGCTAGAGTCAACATCATAATTACAAATGGCATCCTCATAGAAGCACATCATTTGATGTAGTACATAGAAAAGGAGCCAAGTGACTACCATGGTGTACCACATAATAAAAATCACACACCAACAGCATGAAATTGTGTTTCCACAGCATGAAAATGATATATGGCCACCAGCTGGAAAGGAGCGAAAACGTTCAATAACCAAAAATCCCAAAATTGGAGGTTTACCTCTAATTCCTATCCAACATGAAAGAAATGCAACCCAAGCCCGAAGAAATATTGAGGTAGGTTAGGATTTTGTTTATCTAATATTAAATTAAAGCATTTGTTTTCCTATGTCTTAATATGACTAAAAATGTCAATTAGTTCACTAACTTCAAAAACAACAATAATGATCACTTTGAAAAATGCAATAATCATATACATCAAGAAAACATGAATAACGGTACATCATTTATTTTAGTGTCACTGCCTACCCATTTACATATATACAGTATCATTTCTTGTCTCATAAGTAGCCAAATAATTTTAAATATTTGTACAGAAATTCTGGTGGTAAAATAAATCTCAAATTAGTCTTAGAAATTAAAACACCTCAGAGTAAGTCCGTGGCAGAAAATGTCTGGAGCCATGATAAGTAGATTTTCTACAGACATAACGGCAATTTCCAGTGGTTTGGGAAATGATAGGGTATCTTTCTTAATTTAAGAAATTGCAAGATGACCTCTGAACATCAATTGGCATTGTTCATGAAGGTCATTATTTATTTTCTTTCTCACTGTAGGGGTGGGAGCATTTAAGTAATGTCAGTCTTGATGTGAAGTATGGTCTCTTCAGGAAAGAGCATAGGCTTTTTCTCCCAAAACTCATTAGCCACTTGGGAACTAGCTCATGTCTCAGTGTCTTAATTGAGTTCCTCAAAGCACAAAGAAAAGCATTTAAAAAGTGTTATATCTTCTTTGAGCTTAAATTTGGGATTAAGCTATTTGAATCTTTTGCTTTCCAAGCAGAAAAAAGCCTTTAGAAGACTAAAAGCACTTTAATCTAGTAATCAGGTCTTTCAAATATTTTTCCATGCATGAAAAATGTGCCTGAACATTTATTCCACTGAAAAACTCCATCTCTAAATACAAAGGCTTCAAAAATAATGGTCTTTGGTTCCCCTACTTGATATTGCTGCACTAGTATAATCAAAGGAGAGTAAGTCTCCCAAGAAATAATGACCTCGTCCCTGTGTTCATTCCACACCTACAGTTTTTGCTAATAAACCATTCTGCACAATTATGGGTTCATTACCTAATCTAGAATCTTAAAATTCTTGAGACATTCCACAGGACATTAGAACCAATAAAGCAAGTGTAGAGAATACATATTCTCTCCCATGTCCCCAGGTCTTCCAGATACTGCCTTAGGATCAACTGCAGAGAAAAGCAAAAGACGAATTTTTAGTCTCAAAATTCTTTAACCAGCAGTCCATGTAGATGATTTAAATATGCAGTACTTTATTACCTGAACCCAAATCCACAATTTCAGAGTTAAATTTTTTAACATGCTTAAGATCAGGAAACTGAAGATGTCACTGGCTATCATGGATCCTTACTTCAGTGATAATGGAAATTAATACTGAGGCAACAATACAAATTTACAGGCAAAAGTGTTAATTGGAAAATTTATTACAGAAAAGAAACAAGCTGGCTGTCCCACTAGCAGCCCCAGAAAAGAGACAGAAAGAGCCCACAAACATCACATCAGTTCTTGTATAGATGGAGAAATGGCCAACAAAGGCTATGTTTCATTTTTGTAGGATCCCCCCCAAATGTCATTAATTATTCATGACTTTCCCCACAGGGGGCAGTGGTCTCCAGACAGGGTGTTGTTTAGCTACTATTATAGACATGACTTTGCACATGGCTCAAAATGTGCTTACCAATGTGTCATGTTCCCCCTAGATGGAGGTTTTTATATAGAAATGCATTATAATGAAGGTGTAATGAACTTTAGGGTCAGTACTAGGTCCCATCCTTCACCATCTTTACTTGCAGTGTTCGAAGTTGCAGCTGCTTGCTTACTTTTTCTCAGGCTGATACTTTAAAGTCTTGCCAGTAACCCCATGTCTCAAAATTGTTGCTTTGAAAAATTGTTAAAGGCTCTTAAAACAATTACATGTGATATTAATTGCTGGAAAATGTATGAGTTAAAATAAACTAAGCTTTTTTTGTAAATTTGGTAAATATGATTTAATGATTTGACAAATATGGTGCTCCACAGTTGGAAAAACATTGAAACATTTGAAAAGGCATTAAAGCAAAATTCATAAAAAATTAAATTCTTCATATGAACCATTAAAATGTGTACTATAGAATTAGATTTATGTAAATATATTAGAAAATATACCTATAAAATGACTGCCCACTTTTAAGCCTATGTTTTGAAAATGGACATTAACTTAAAATTACCAAGTGGAATGCATTCATAAGAAAAAATACATTAATATTGAAGGATATGTTCAAGAAGAATTTTTCAGACAAGTTCTTGGCAGATTGGGAAATTTGTTGATTTAGGCATGCTTTCATGAGGTTCTTTTGGAAGTTATGAGAAAGTACCTCTCAAAAAGCTTCCTGGAGAAAGTGCCTTATACAATTAATTAAGTAAATTAGTTTGCTAGCTGAATAAGCCAGGAAAAGTAAATTGTTGGCAGAAGAAATCACACAAGAGGCAGACAGAATGCCGAAGAATGCACAAGCTAGATAACCACCTGTTGGTGTTCCTGTTTCATGTAAAATCTTGAAACCTGCCTTAACTTTGTGTCTACAGCTTATTTATCTGTAAATATGTGGAGCTAAAAAATCCTCTGCTCTATAGGGTTATTGTGATGATTAAATAATTATATTTGAGAATGTATTATAATAACACCTGACATATAGTTAACACATATTGGGACAAAATAATAAACTTGGAAGACAACTCACTAGCTTTCGAAATTGCCATTAAAAGCTGAGTGTGGTAGCACCCACCTATAGTCTCAGCTACTAGGGAGACCAAGGCAAGAAGATCATTTGAGCCCAGCACTCAGGGGCCACACTGGGCAACACAGCGAGATCCTGACTCAAAAGAAGGGAGGGAGAAGCCATTGCTTTTTAAAATGACTTCTGTAAATTAATGAACAAAAAAGAATGGTACAGTTGAACAGAAAATAATAATCCATCTGCCTATCCCTTACTATCCTGGAGCAGTGTGATGTGCTGAAAAGAAGCACATCCATTTCAGAAAACCAACCTGACCGCCCATTTCAAAGTGTGCGCATGTGTACGTGTGTCTGTCTGTCTTAAGACAAGGAACAAGTTTTATTATCTCTCAGGGTTTCTGTGGTCAGGAATTCAGCCAGGGCACAGCAGGGACAGTTTCTGTCTGCTCTGTAGCTGGAAAGCTCAGCAGTTCAGGAGTTATCTGAAGACTTTACTGGGCCTGATGATTGGCTTTAGAGGTGGCCCACTCACATGACTAGCAAGTTGTGCTAGCTGTAAATAGATTTATACTCACATACATAAATATACCTGGAAGGTCATATAAGAAATTGCTAAGAGTTGTCCTTTGGGTACTACAACTAGAAGAAGACTTCCTTTTCACTGGGCCAGGTTTTACTATTATAATGTTTCTGTGTTACTTTTATAGTGGAGGAGAAACATGTTTATAAGAAGTTTGGCTGGACTCAGAAAGGTGATGGCTAGCATGAATATTTTACAACCTCAAAACTGCCTGGTTTGATTATCACAATGTTGAGCAGAATTTGAATTTGTTATCAATTATTTGAAAATCCAGAGAATTCACATGAAAACCCAAAATTTCTTTTGGCAATCCACAGCCTCTGTGGCTGTGGGTGGTATATTCTTCGGGGCGCAGGTGCTTTGCTTCGGCCTGGAAGCCCTCTTCTACTTCGTAGCCTCACTCCTCTAGGACCCCTGTAAGGTATTTAAGCTCCCAGCAAAGGCTGAAGTGTGTAGCACAGCCAGGACAAAGGACAAGGACCTGACCTGCTTTTGAACATGATGATTGGAAAGCAAGAATGCAGATCCAGTTTGCCACCCATGACACTGGCCAAAGGAGGACTCTTAGCTCTGCCCTGTGCAGGTTGTGTGATGGCATCTTGTGCTATAATCCCCACTACAGTTGTTATCACATCAAAATATTTTCATATCTGATGGTAAACAGCACTTCTCTAAATCCCTTAAAAAAAAAAGTTTTGGCTGCCTGGTCCTTCCTGTGGGAGCCCTGCAAACCTCACAATCCATTAGCAGGCTTGACTGCATCCCAGAGGCTGACTGGCATGGGGTTAACCTAGAGGACCTAGAGCCCAGACCTAGGCATCAGGGTATCTGTACTACAGGCCAACCAGGGACACCACCACATTTGCCCTGCCTGCTGCTCCCTGCAGGTGGGTACTCAAGAAAAGCCATTGCAGCCGAAGGGGGTGGCCTTGTATGAATAGGGACCACTACAAAGGAGTCACCCGGAGACTGCAACATCTGCATCAGGCTATGCCACAGCAGGGGTCCATTGCCCAGCTCTGGGCCTCACCTTGTTGTTACACATAGGTGCCTGCTCCCCTGGGCTTCCCTCTTCTACAGTCCAGGCCTACTGTCTCTAAGCAGTACTTACTTCTTGTAGGCACATTGCAACAGTGTCTCCATAGGGCCCTTCCCAAACTGTTACCTCCTCCATGCCAGGCCGGGCTCTGAAGGCAGCTAGTTCCCATGCTTAAGAGGCACTTCAGATTCGGGTCTCAGCTATGCGGGGTTTTGGACTTCTCTAGGGGACATCTTTATGCACGCATGCCTTCAGACATTCCCTCTGGCAGCAAGAGGGGAAGGTAGCAGGCACTTTGCAGGCCCAGGGAGAAGCCATTAGAAGAGTTAACACAGAAATGCTTGGCTACTCCTGGAACTGAACTGACATTGGGACTCTTAAGAGGCCTACCCTCAGGCTCCCTTCCTGCCTACTCTGAGGAGCTGTGCATAGCACTGAGCGAAAACTCTCAGCATCCCCTGCGCTACCTACTCCCAGAAGGCCGCTGTAAGATAGGAGGATGCATGCCCTATGCTGCTCAAAGCCAGAGGGCCAGAGGCGGAGCTAGAGGCAGTATTGGGAAAGGGACACTAACCCCACAGCACCCCCATGGCTTCCCATTCAAAACTCTCTTAGGTCATTTAAGACAAATGATTTCTTTTGAGTATTTCTAGCCTCCCATTTCAAAGTTTTTCTTATGTGATGTCAGACAGATTGTTCTTTGACTTTGTGTTTCTGCACCATAAAATATAACTAAACTGTGAAGAAAGCTTGAGGCATTGTTAGAATTAACTTTAGTGCTGTGATTATATATTTTACACCATGGAGATTATCAGCTAGTAAGTGAGTTCAATAGTAAAAGTACTTTAAAAGAATTTCTGAGGTTATATATAATATATATATCTCGTATTTTTTTACCATGAGACTGCCATAAACTTGGCCCACAAAACTGGATTTAATGGGAACCATATAAGAGCCCAGACTAAAGCCCTGTGAGTGATTTGTTCTGATGATATATTCACTGCTCATTGCTTCAGCTCTGCAGAAAGTTGCACTCTGCAGCTGGGAAGGATAGGCACAATTTCTCTGCTGTGACACAGACTGGCATTGCCTGGAGCAAGCCACCTCGTGCTCATCTGCTTTTACACTTTATCCATCTTGCTTTTTAAATGAATACCTTGTCATTTAAAGACAGTAGTTTTCTTTCCTCCCCTGCAGGCCTCTCCAGCTCACTGTATTATTCATGTATTTACTTTCTCCCCACCCCATACTCTGACTTTTCACAGATCACTTTTACCATTCATCCTCACCTTCACACAAGCTTATAAATCATTTAAGCTAATATTGAACCTTATAGTATAATTAAAATTTCAGCACTATATACATTAATACTTGCCCCCTAAATTCTGCATCTAATTCTTTCGGCTGAAAAGTTGTGAAACTTACTGTGATATATAAAGCCATATTTTATACTTGAATGAGTTGTGATTCCTGAGAAGCCAAGGAAAGTCTGTACACTAGATATTTCCCAGCCACAGTTTGTCCTGCACGCTACTTTTAAAAGTCCACCTTATTTGATTTCAGGTGTTGTGTTGCAGTATACTTCTAGTACTTGTAGGTCCTGAAAGTTATAATTGTGAATTCTAATCTACTAACACAAAAGCAGGTATTAACATATTTTTGTGTTTTTAAAAGTAAACCCAGGGAATCCCAATAGGCATTGTGTAGGAGAAAGGTTTCACTAGCCAGAAATATTGGGAGAATAAAACAGAGAAAAGGAGTTAAGGAGATTTCTCTTCCTTAATAATTCTCAGCATCTTTATTATGCATTATGAATCTCAAAGAGAGCTATAGTATAGAGCACTTTCCTGGCTCACATGGCCAAGGAGAGTGTTTTTTTCCTCAGTGCTGAGTGTCCAATGCTTTTGGAACTAAGGGTGCATGCAGGTATGGCACAGAGAGGCAGAAATGAGTTGGAAGAGGGAGGGTTGAAATGAGAGTCAGTCTGAATAACTAACCGGAAAGAAATCTTTGAAGTGCTGTGCCAAAGCATGTTAAAATGAATTTCTGTCATCTTCATCTCATATGATTTTGCAGCTCTAAGACCAGTATATAAATTCAGATATGCCACTTACATCGAATTTAGAACCTACATTATAGAAATAAACTCTTGTATAGGAAGCATCAACTGTTACATGGAATATATTTTGTGAACATCATTTTTCCCAAATCTTGCTTTCCTGTAAGACATTTTATTATTTTTTCTTTTTTAGAGTGCAAGAGCAGAGCTTGAAAGGCTGCGGCTCAGTGCAAAGCATGAGAGAGAGTCCATGGAACCCAGCTTAAAGGACAGAGCCTCCATCGTGGCGCAGTGCCTGGAGCACAAAGAGGATAAACTTCGAAATCGGACCAGAAAACACCGGAGTTTCGTCTGTCTAGAGGACACAGAGGCTGAGGCCCAACAGGGGCAACAGAAAGGCCAGAAGGACCTAAAGACATTGAAGAAGGCTGAGGACAGGAATAACAAAGCTACCTTGGACTCAGATCATAAATTGCCATCGAAGGTAATTGAAGAACTTAGTGTGGTTCTACAGCGGTCAAGAACCCTGCCTAAAGAGTTACAAGGTGAACAGATTTTGCAGAAAGAAGTAAAATGAATTGATCCACAAATTATTTTTTTAAGTATTGTATACAGTGTGTGTAAAGTAGAAACAAAACTATAAAATAATTCATGAATTTATAGGCAAACTTGGTCTATATTTAAGAAATGTGTCTATCTAAACTTAAACATTTAAAGAGCATTATAAAATATGTATATATGTGATTAAGTGTAAGATTAACTTTGTTTTGCTCTGAACAAAACTTGTAAAGTTCAATTGTATTAACTTTGTGTAAGAAAGCACTGAGTTACCCTTAAGTGGTTGACCCTTTTAAAATAGTGGTCTGCTAAGTGGGTAACTTATAAGCAGGAATCTCAGACTGTACTGTATTGTATAAAATGCTGTGTTTAAATAAAGCCTATGAAACTATCTATAACATATTTTGCACTTTGAGCAAACTTGTATTGTAAGTTACCATGTTTTTAGGTTTACACAGGGTTCACATTAGGGAAAAGAAAAGGAAGGAGTAGAAAAGGGGAAGAATTTATTTTAGTGGCTAACAAATAACATTGGGTTTTTAAAAAGGAGGAAAGTTAACATATGCCCTACCATCCAAGGAGGTGACCTAAGATTCATTCTAGTTCACTAAGGACCAGAATTTGTTAAGGAAAAACTGCTTGTTAAGAAAAAGGCCCAGGGTATAAAGATGTCCCCAGAAGCATTCAGCCAAGCAAACTGAATAATGGCTCTGGTCGTTCTTATTTATGGCATTAGTGAACAAGCCATAGTGTACACTCACTACACTCCAGTCCACTACAGGTCAGTGGCTGCTAAGAGAAAACTTACATTGCACTGGAGAGGTTGTATGAATGGACCTGGCACAGATGTTATTCCCACTGTTGCTGTACACAAGCAAGGTTTTGGAGTTCCAACAATACTTTTGGTACGGAAAAAATGAATCATCACAGGATCTTTTTGCTGCTGTTGTTCTGACATTTAATTTTTTTTGTTTGAATTTTTTTACATGAGGTTGCAGTGTCTTTCTCTTCACTGTCAGAACTAACTGGAAGTGCTGAACATATGGCCATGTTGAGGTAGGGGGATTCTTTAAGTCTACGACACATTTTCTGACCAGCAGTTCACATTCCATTTAGTTGTTTGGAGGTTTTTGTTGTTTTTGTTTTAATAAAGCATTGGTATTCTGCCTATAACTAGTAAAATGACAAAGCCCTCTATTTTTGTTTCCACATAAAAATCACCTACAAAATTAGAAGTTTTTCTAAGACAGATAATAATATTTTATAGCTTATGTTATGGGTGGCACTTTTCAACAGTTTCTTTCAAATTGTATTAGGCCGGATGAGCTTTGATATTAAAAATTATTTTATGTAGCTAAACTTTATTCCTTACACTTTTTCCCTATTTGTCAGGTGATTTTCTTGTCAGATTTTGTCTATGTACAAAGGCCCATACTTTAGTCACTGTATGTGTTATCAATTTCTATGACTTTCTTTACTATAAAATTCTAATTACATTTGCTAGGGATAAAATAGTTTACCATGAGTTGGTAGTATTTATTATTTAAATCCAAATAAATTGCAATTAAATAAAACTGCAGGGCAGTTATGATAAGTTACACTCTTGATGAAACTTCCTTTAAAGTAAGAAATCATGTCATTTAGGAAGACAAACTAATTTTAAACTATTATTTCTAATAAATAATGATATTTATATCTTATGAAATAAAAAGAACTATGGATATTAATATGTTTGGTGTATTGAACAACAGGAAAATGTCTGGAGTTTTTAACCTGCCTTTTACCTGAATTTTTATAGACACTTGAGCTTAAAATCTAATAGCTTCTGTTTTTCTTCCTTTGCTGCACAGTTTACTCCATTTTTCAAATATAAGGGCTAACAATGACATCTCATGTATTTTGAGTAAAAATTAAAATTGTTTTACAAGTTCGTTTGAATGTGATTAGTGTCTGTCTTCATTGTTTTCAGAAGTTTAAGGTTATTGTTAACTAAATTCATTATCCATTTTTTCTTTCATTAAAATTTGAATTTAATGTATACTTCAAACTATCATTTTTCCAAACACTATTATGTATATGGTTTTATTTTAGAGGATGAATATGTTCAGATATGACATAAATAGACTGAAGGCATTCTAACTTTCATTTCTGAATACTAAAAGTTAATTATTAGCCATAATTTTTAAATATTTGATTTTTAAAAAATAATTACTTGATGGTTCATCAAAATGACACCAAGAAGTTAAAATTAACCAAAAGTAATTGGAAGAAAAATGTGATTTGTGCATATAACTGTATTAGCTGGTGATTTTTATTTTCCTATGAAAATTTTAAATTCTAAACTACAGAAAAACATATATTACAGAAGGAAATGTTTTTGCAAATGTATCAGATTTGTTTGGACATGTATTTGTATGCTTTTTTTCAGACTCAATCACTCAAAGGAGATGATGAAAACTTGTACCATCATATAAATTTGTACCATGACTTGTATATTATCATTCATTCATAATGAACTTTAACAGAAGACAGAATTAGGTTTAAATTGTGAACATTTTTCTAACACATGACACATGTATGGTTATCACATTTAACTCTATCAGGAAACAGCAGAAATGAATCTTATAGATTACTAAGGTTCTTTTTTTTAAAGTGTAAGTTATTTCAATTTTTTGTTTAAAGTGATTAAATTATATACTCATTTTCTCTGATATGGCTATGATTTGTTGAATGTAAAGTTTTTAATAATCCAGATAGTACTAAAGAATTATTTGATTAAAATTCAGACCCCAAATAACCTCATTTAAGGAGGAGGTGTAACTACCTTGTAGGTAATTTTTGCAATGAGTAACTTACCTATGTAAAAATTATATACACACATGCACATACACTGGCCAGGTAAATGAGATAAATATGTAAATTATAACATCGTGAGTAATAAACTTTACTTATTAATGTATTGTTTTCTCTAGCTCTCATTGGATCTAAGTTGATGGTTTTCAGTACTGATTTTCAAACTGCTTCTAGCAAGGTTGCTTTTTTCCTCCTAAAATATGTGAAACAGAAATAAAACAGAGTACAAGTTGTTCCAGTTATCTTCCCCCACAATTCATATATTGAACCCCAAGTACTTCAGAATGTGACTGTGTGTAGCAATACATCCTTTAAGGAAGTCGTTGGCTGAAAGGAACTCATTATGGTGGACTGTAATCTATTCTGATTGATTTCATAAGAAGAGGACATTAGGACATACAAAGAGATACCGAGGATGCATCCCAACGCATAAAGGATCATAAGACAAATGAGAAGGTAGCCACCTACTGGCTAAGTAGACCTTCAAAATAACCAATCCTTCTGACACCTTTATCTTGGATTTCTAGCCTCTAGGAGTATGATAAAAACAGATTTCTGTTTTAGTCACCCAGTCTGTGCTATTTTGTTATGGCTAGCCTAGGAAATTAATACATCAGTATTCATGTTTATCAGTTAATACTGATATGAGCAGAAGATCCCCTGATACTTGCAAATAAATCTTAGTCCTTGCACTTTTGTTTCCCCAAATCTCAGAACACTTTTATACCTTTGTTGAGTGACAGTTATAATGTTGAATGAAGGATAAGCGACACAATGAGATGTGTTTAGAAGTCATCTTAATAACTCATACACTGAAATAACAGCCTAACCCAAAATTATGGCTCAGCAAAATTACAGTTGGGAGCTACTTTTTAAAATTCAAGTTCTCTGATATCAAGAACCACTGTTGCAGCATAATAAAGATGCTTAGTCCTATCCAACACATAATAGAAAAAATTATTAATTATTCCAAGACTAAAAGACTACACCCCAATAAAGAATGGACTGGGTTCTGGGAAGATGGCGGAGCAGTAAACAGCAACAAATCAACCTCTCCCAAATTTGGAATCCAGTCACTGGAATATAACAAATTTTGGAAGAAAAGGAGGGAGGTGGATCCCCAGGACACAAGATGGATCTGAAGGGAAAATTGAGGCCCACAGAGAAAGTGAAGAAACAGACCACAACTCAGAAAAAGGAGATAGCAAACTGCACTTTCTTCCAGGCTCTTGGATCACAGTGTAATTGAAGAGGATGAAATCTAGAGACAGTGAGGATGGGTGACTCCAGAAGCCTCCAGGGAGAGACACACCAGTGGAACAGAGCAGTGGGTGCTGTGAGTTACTACAGCTAGTGAGTGACTCTAGCCCAGGCATCTATAATGTCACCTGAAGAGGGGGCTTGGCCAGATGCCATTTTAGAGAGGGACCAACTGAACCCAAGACTCACCAGCTGTGGGTTGGTTTCATCTCAGAGCTCCCAGTGTTGAAATCCAACAGTGCCTGGGTGAAGGACAACTGCAAGAGACATCCAGGGTCAGGGAGCCAAGGTAAGACCAGCAAGAGACACCAGTGTTGTAGATTGAACAACTCATGCCCCAACCCCACAACTAGGGGCCAGGATCATCTTGAACTTCTATGGAGTTGAAAGCACCAGAATCAGCACCAAGCCCCAATCCTACTACAGGCTTGCTGGGATTGTCCAGCATGCCCTAATCCTACTGGAGGCTTACTGGGATCATCCAGCACAGATCTGGGGTTTGTCTGCTTCCTTTGTCTAACAGTGACAGCAAAGACACACCCTGAATTAAACACTACCACAAAACTGTAGATTCCAGAAGATAACCACAGGCTTGAAATCACAAAGAAGTTTTTTTGCTTTGTGTTTTTTTCCTCATTTTTTGTTTTTTCATGAGTGTGAACATTATTTTTAGTTTTTTTAGTTATGTTTTGTTCTTGCTTTTCCTTCTTTCTTTCCCTCCTGTCTTCTTTACCAGTTTCCTGAAGCTAAGGTAATCTTCCTTTGTCCTTCAGCCTTGCTTGTAATCTCTTTTTTATTTTTCTATTTTTTCCTCTTGCCCCTTTTAAATTTTTTAACCTGTGGGTAAAATCACTCCTTTGAAGGGATATTTACTGTATATAATTTTCTGACTTGGTTTAGATTTTTTTATAGAACTATAAATCTTGTACCTATGGTTAAAAGTGACAAATTGGGACAGGGATTTAGTTCATTGGTGCCACCACCTGCCTCACAAGTGCAAGGTCCCAAGTTCGATCCCCAGTATAAAAAAAAAGTCCTATTCATAATAAATTATCAACTTCTTAAAAAAAGTAACAAATTAACAGTTATCACAGTTTGTCATTTTCTAAACAGAGCAGCATCCTCGAGGAGAGAGAGAAATATACAAGCCAGCTGAATCAATCCATAATTCTGTAGTCTGAAGACTGTCCCAGCAACAGCATCTACCAGATAAAAGTGATGTTTCTGATCTCTTTAAGTTATTCCATTTGTTGTGCAACATCCATCATTTATCTTACT